TAAAGCTTACCTCTTACTATACAAAGACGAAAGAGATCTATAGTAGTCTCTACGTAATTAGAATAATTCTTACACCCCAGTATAAGCTTCACTTCTTCTTAAGTAAGGCGTAGGGTATATCGGAGAACAATATAAACTAGAGTGATCAGTATAAGGAAACGCTTCGCTAGTTTATAGCTCCTTACGCCTAAAGATACACTCAGATATAGTCCCTACGAGAAGAGTAACCCCCTAAGCGTCACTCAGCTAGTATAAGTGACCTAGACGCCCTCCTTAACCTTCTGCCTTATATCCACTCTGATCTATCAACGTCGGAGCACAAACTTACTAGATACCTTAAAAAGCGTACGTTATATTTACTGTTATTACGAGCAGGAATACTAATACCTATAATAGTAAGGAGAAAGGTCGATCCTTTATAATTCTAGAAGGAATATAAGAATAAATTCCTAATTCTTTTAAGTGTTACTCGCGATATTCTCTCTATTCCTATAATAGGCGCTGGAGTTAAACGTCTTTTCAATTCAGTATAGGATATCTACCACTACCGATATAGGCGGCTAAGTGCGAAGACAGTCTAGGATATTATAATATTCCGGTGTAAAACCCAGTTCGATATTGAAATAGAAGAACTACCCGATAAGGATACGTCCTTAGATTCAATATAAGAAGCAGACGAACAGAGAGAGGCTGAGCTTACCACTGATATACCTAAACCAATCAGCGATAGTGAGGATTCCGAGGATAATAATCCTATTAGACTGATCGAGTATAAGTTTATAATAGAGAGTCAGCTTCCTTGTCCTTCTATAGTGCTAAGTACGCGGAAGCGACAGAGAAGTGAGCTAGTCGACAGCGAAGATAAGAGCAGTCCTTATCTTCCTTATTATAGAGATAAGGGTAGCACTTAAAAGCGCCCTGGTTTAAGAGAAGTAAGGAAGCGTAGTAAACCCAATAATAATCAATTTATATCGTATTAGTGTGAATATATAAATATAATAAATACCTAAGTTATTATATAAAGGCTTCTAAGGCTTATTTCTAACCCCGGTCAAAAAAGTGACAATATATCAAGTTATTATATAAAGGCTTCTAAAGCTTATTTCTGACCTCGGTTAGAAAATTGACTGTGGTGTTAAGTTATTGTATAAAGGCTTCTATAGTTTATTTTTCTGACCGAGGTCAGAAAATTGACAGTAGTATCAAGTTATTGTATATATAATCGAATTACTCAAAAATACAGAGAAAAAATGCACAAATAATGTAGGTCACGAGGTCAAGAAATTCTGCTTACTAAAAAGGCCTATAGGCGCCCACGGTGTCTATAGACAATAGGCCCTAAGGGTAGGGCCCGTCTATAGGCGTATAGATAGTGCCCATCGCCCGCTTATATAAGGCCCGTGGGCACTGCCCACCCGCCCGTCCATGGGCGATGTCGCAGTCTAGTCCCATGGGAGTGATTTTACTCCCATGGGACCAGGATATGGGACCAAAATTTTCTTAGTCCCATGGGAGTTGGCAAGGTCTAGTGGAACCGAGTTATATATACTGTTACGTTTGAGGAAAAGGATTAACAATAGAGTAATTTTAGAGAGCGATATACGGATCCCCTCTTTGCGCTATTACTAGATTATATCCAGGATAACTGGATAAATAACTGCCTAGAGCGCTTCCTTTATTGCTACACCTCGCAATACCTTTACCTTAGTGAGATCGCTACTTCCCGTATAGAGGGTGCGTATTAGCTACTTAAGAGTGGCCTCTAGACTTTAAACAATGATTTACTAGTAGTACTTCGCAGTTTCGACCGGTCGGTTAAGTATTAATTCGCTAAGGTCCAGTATAGAATTGAGAATCAGAAGGTCCGGAGGCCAGCGTATATTCTACAGCTTTATAAGCTCCTTTATACCCGGATCTCTATATAGGTAATTTAACTTACAAAGGAGGTATACGCTAGGTATCTTCCTAAAGGGGAAGGTAAGCGAGAGATTCCTCCTGTATATACTTGTAACTCAAAGGAAACCGCCGGCTTCCCGTGTATCTATATACTCCAGCAATACAAGGGTGAAGGGAGATCTCTTAAACCAGAACTATACTACCAGCACTGGTATTTATACAGTGTTAACGCCCCCCTATCGATCTATTACTCCTAGTATAGGACCCCCTTCCTATACGATAACGAGGGCGCCCTCGAGGTGCTAGAAACCTCCTAAGTAGACTGCGACATCGCCCGTCCATGGGCACTAGAAAGTGTCCACGGCCCGTGGGCCTTTTGAAATTTGACGCCCATCGCCCACCGTTATGCAAAATTAATGCAAAAATTACCCTATTAGGCTATTTTATGTACATAACTAGTTCTTGGCAGTATCCACCTTGCCAAGAGTGCCCGCATATGTCTTGGCGACGCTAAAAGTGTCTCCACTTTGGTGGGCGTTGTCGCAGTCTAGAAAGAAGTAGTAGAGGGGAAGTATAGAAGATATATAAAGGAGAGGAAAATAAATAATATATAGAGAAGGCTATTTATTACGTGGCCTAACGTATTCCTCTCTCCCCCTATAAGAGCCTTCCCAGAGAGGATCGCTTACTATTACTTATTACTACGTGACCTTTGAAATTAGAACTAGTTGCTTCGCTCCGCGATGACTATCCGGAGGCCTAAGGCCACCGAGATCCCTTGTACCTTTTATACCCGACCGAGTGATCTTAAAGCTGAATATTTATCTTGGAATACCTACCCCCCCCTAAGCCGGGGGAGCGAATTAAGCCGGAATTTCACCCCAAAAACTCTATTTACAGAGAAAGAACTACGTCGATAAGCTTCGTCAATGTAAAGGATATGCCTGGGCGCACATCCTCCAACTCGGCCAAAAGACCATTATGTCAGAGCTCACGCTCTGATATGCCCAGGACCAATATATATAGTAGCGCACATAGTTTATCCGTGACAGTCAATCAAAGCTTCACTTCGTATAAGATCTCAAAATCCGCCTAGCCTATCGGATCGTGCATTAAACCAGCTTATAAAAGGCTTCCGTCTTACAATATAAGGCGCTATCTTACTAGCGAAAGAAAACAAGGAATTACGCGCGGAAAACGAGAAGAAGAAGAAGTAAAAACGAGCTAGATCCCGGAAGTAGATATAGGCAGAAGTAGGCCTATCAGTATAGGAAGCTTCTCAATTGCTTAACAGGCCGGTGGAAGCAGATAAAGCACCTCCACCCAGTACCGGTATGTATAAAGCACCGGCTTTGGAACCACGTACGCGGGCCACACCAAGTTGTAGTGGATGCAGAGAGACTGGGTATAGATTTAATAGATGTCCAGCTAGATAGATGATTTTAGCGGATTTAATTTAATGGCGTTTTGGTTGAGATATTTATATTTAAATTCAATAGGTTGGGTGGGGTGCGCAGCTCGCTTGTGTGCGCAGCTCGCTTGTGAAATACGTTAGGTAACTAGATTGTGAAAACCTCGGATTTTGTCACTTTTAGTTATGTACATAGTTAGAGTACAAAGTTACAAGTACATAGTATTTATTGATCTTACCATACCTTGCAATACATCTTAATTCTTGTCATATATGTATACATACTCCGTACATAGATATCCATTGGATGCCAAGGTTAGGCCAGTCAGAGCTGTCCGACGTGAGTCCTTTCTGTTTTGCCGGCAGAAAATAAAAAGCTTCCCATTGTTCTCAAGACCTTACTACTATTTCCCCTGACGTTATTCAATTTGCATTATGTTTGCTTTACATTCAACTCGATTTTGGCGGAATGCCTGTCATCAACAAGCAATTGGTCAAGCAAGACATGCATCATCCAAGCGCTGGCAAGCCCGGCAGCAAAAGGATCAATTCACCAGAGAGGCAGCTGTCCAAGGGCTGAAAAGCCGTGCTGCTTTCAAATTGCTCCAGGTAATCCAGCACCAACATTACCATGTTTCCCTAGATTTATCTAATACACTAGTACCTATGGTTAGATTGATGAGAAATATCGAATCTTCAAGGGTGGGCAGACAGTTGTTGACTTGGTATGCTAGTCGTTCAACATGAACTCGGATCATTGTCTAATTGTTGCATTTAGGGTTATGCTCCAGGATCGTGGTCGCAGGTGTGTTGGTCATTCTTCTCTTACCTTTGACTTATCTTCTCCCCTTTTGTTGTGAAATGGGCCGTAATTAACTGCCAGAGAAGGTTGCTGCAAGCCGTACCCAACCACATGGTCGAGTTCTCGGTGTCGATATCATCCCAGCCCAACCACCGAAAGGAGTGTCTACAATCCAAGGCAATTTTCTCGCACCCGAAATTCAAACATACATCCGAGACTTTCTCCGCAGTCCAGACAGAGGCAGGCCGCGTCAACCCGGCTTTCTAAACGATTCCAATGCCAGTATATTGGAGCCAATCTCGGATACTGGACACAATATTGAGGCCGAGAAAACGGATATGAGGGGTGATAAAATACTTGAAAGAACGGTAGATGTGGTTCTTAGCGATATGTCTGCTCCCTGGCACCAGACCTCAGGTTTCTGGAAACGAAGTCTAAGTGCTCCTTATAATAGGATGATGAACACCAGCGGTGTTAGTTTCAGAGATCATGCTGGAAGCATGGTATGAATTCTTCTTACTAAAACTGATAGGTGTGATACGCTTCTGACTTTACGCAGGATCTCTGTTATGCGGCTTTGCGCTTCAGTTCGGACGTTTTGAAGGCAGGTGGCCATTTTGTCTGCAAATTCTACCAAGGCGCCGAAGATAAAGAACTGGAGCAACAGCTGAAGGAATTGTTCAAAAAGGTTCATCGTTTGAAACCCGAATCGTCTCGCAGTGTATGGTCTGCCTTGCCCAGTTTATACACACCCATCAACTAAAACAATTGGCAGGAATCCAAGGAAGCCTTTTTCATTGGCCTGGAGCGAAAATCGTGAGAATAAAGCTATTTCGGACTTACATATCGGCAGATCACAGTGCAGTCGAACAGCCGAATCATGCTGTGTGTCTAAATGATCTCGATCTCCTCGTCGTCAGATGCCTCATCCCACTCAATATCAGCTAGTGCTGCTTCTGCCTTCTCATGAACCTTCCTATGTGTCAGTTTAGGATTGAGTAGTTTTATAGGTGCTGGCTGACCTCTTTCAGTCCACTCAATTCTTCGACATATCCATCTTCATTCAAGGCTCTTCGCACGAAGTCCCAACCCTGTTCGCGGTATGCACTGACGATTTTAGTCGAGCATGCACTGCAACTCGAATAACTTTTGCCGGTGACAGACAAGTTCTCGAATTTAGAGAGAAATCCTCGTATTTGATGGGGCACAATGCCTAAAGGATGATCATCACGCTCGGTATTGCGGGAAATGGGGGCCGGTGCAGCAGCGCCTTGGGGGTGCTGAAGGAGTGACACAAAAAGCTCCACCAAAAGTGCAGAGGCTATAGGAGCCACTCCAGGACGTGTTACTGTGCATTGCTGGTCGAGAGTTTGATCTTTGATGGACTATCCCGCAGTCAGTTCTGTATAAAGCACGTCCCTCCTTTGGATAATCTTACATTAGCTGGTGCTACTACATCGTTGCAGAAATAGCACCCAAGCTCAGCTGGCATATTTCCATTCTCCATAATGCCATGGCGCATCACCACAAAGGAATCAAACCCTAGGGCTGCATTCATCACGATTTTCCCTGCCGCCTTCCCCATCACTGTAGGCAGCCATCGTGATTCTCTGGTATCCATAAGGAGGAAGATGGCATCATGTTCATCAATCAATATTTTGAGATGATCAAAATCGGCCCTTATCGCCTTTTCGTCCATAATAGGGTGTCCTGCCATGGGCACAGAGAGCACATGACCTGTAGTCTCTACTCCTGGGTAAATTTGGGTTAGGGCTTCGGATGCCCGATGTGCTTTTCGAACGCCACCATTCAAGCAGTCTTCAAAATTGAATAGTGGTTGCCGAACAGGGTTGGAAAATGAAACGGTTCCGTTGTCAACGAAAGTGATATTCTTCACGCCCCAGCCCTATACAGTCGATGATCAGAACAATCTTTTCCGAGTGCAGAGGTTGACGTCCACATACGAGCAGATTTCGGGAAACATAGCTACCTAATGTACCAGCTCCTAGCAAGAGACATTTGGTGTGCTTGATTTTCTCAAGATCGAGCGTTGGGCTGATCCGCCATTTGATGAGTTTGAGGTTGAGATCAACCGACTGATCTGCTAATCTTTAGGGGAAAAAATAAGCTTCCTTGATCAAGTCTTTGGGACGGATATCTCCAAATTAACGTCATACCTCTTGGGATCCATGTACTCTGTAAGATTGACAATCCTCCCTGCCAATTTCCCAGTCGAGTTACGTTCCCAGCCGGTCACCTTTGGCAACGGCGACGGCCCTTGGTTCTGCCGTGATTCCGGGGTCTTGGGCTCTTGTTTTGAGCTTGACTCTAGCTGAATCACTGTACTGCGCCCTTGATCACGCTTCGCGTGCACGTCGCGATAGCGTATCAACTGTACCCGTTTGAGGCCCCATCGCTGCTTTATCAGGACGAGTAGGTTCCTCAACATCCACCCTGGGGCCTGTTCATAATTTGATGGGTCTGAGAAACAGAAATAGCGGTCTTTAGCAGCGGCATCCTTGAAAAACCCATTTTCGTATTCGGAAAGTGACGCTATCTGCCAGTTGCTATTTGATGTATCATCTTCTTGGCTGCTCTTTGTCTCGGGGTCGTTATCGGGGCGCTGTCTGGTTTTTCGAGCCAAAAAGAAGCCTCGTTGCCGATGGTCCACAATATATGACCATGTTTGCACTGCTTCCACTAAGGCAGTGCTCTCATGCGGATGTAAGTGTGTTCCCTTCAGACTGTTAATATCAAGATCCTGGTTTGGGTGGGATACTTGATTTATTGGTTGCATGGGGATCCATTGAGTATCCGAATGGATTGCCGGAAAAGCAAACCAGTAGTAGAAGTTGTATTTTTTGAGGTCGGCAAAAGATACAATAAAGAAACTGCAGAGTAAGGAAGGGCATGAAAGTATTGTTCCATCGTTGATGGCATCCCATATCTTGGAGTTTTCATTAGTACACCTCTTTCTCTTCAGGCAGTGAGTTGGTTATGGGTTGGTTATTCCTACCATTTGTCCGGCTTGATGGAGCAGTTTGGATCTGTCCATGTTTCGATATTCTTCAACGGTATTGACGTTTTTGATCATGCCTTCTGCTCTGTAATAACCAGCTGGTGCCCTAATTTGCTGTTAGAACGGCTTTTAGAACCATTTCATTTTTATCTTACTCGTTGCCGGCGAGGGCGTTCCCATGAATTTGGATTCGACATGACGCAGCCTCGGGATCAGAGGGACGGATCTCGTATAATCCCAGAACGGGCCGGGTGGAGTCATCTAGTTTGTCATGGTTGATCTTATGGGACGCCAGTGAAGTATAGAAAGGTAATTCGATGTCGGAAGCAAAAGGGGTGTACTGCATCTTGGAGGAATAGGGGGAGAAAGAGAAGAAGAAATTATCAAGACTCCGATAGTGATACAGACTTGGAACTTTGTAGCCGTTAAGAGGGGTAGAAGAGGATGTAAATGTGTAAAGGTGTAAAGGAAGGTGAGAGGAGGTGAAAGGTCCTCTGACTGAGATGTCACGAGAGAAGAGGGGTGAAGGCTTATCTATCATTTACCTCTTGTGTCTTCTTTGCTTTCTTCCAAGGTTATTTCTTGACTTCAAAACATTTATACAAGACTTTTACCACTATATGTAATATATATATTATATCTAGTACTACCTACTACTTTGTAACCATGTGGGTATATTCTTGGATCATCAAGGTATAATCGCTAGTTATCTTGTGAGATTAACAGCCGACTCGCGCTGACCATGCGACATCTTTAAATATGTAGCCTTCTAGGGCTATATTATACATACTAGGAAAATTGTAATTGTTTTACAATTATGTTTGTAGTTAGTTACCTACCCGTAGGGCTACCAGGGCTGCCCAACATTCCACATATGTGTACATACCCAGCCAGGTGGATTTGGAAGCTTGGACATCCTATCAGGCCGATAAGATCAGGCCGATAAGATCGCGTCGCGACTTTCCCGTTTACTCTGCCCCGCTGCTTCTTTCTTCTCTTCTTTTCCACTCTACAATCATTAAACACCTGAAAATGCTTATCGGCTTATGTGGAGGTCAGCAGATATTGTCGCAAACCAAACCCTGGCCCCTTAATGCATAAACTAACGAGGATATACGTCAAAAAAGGCATTTGCGCTGGCAAACATGCAATTGCCGAGTACCTGATTCAGCAAGGATTTCAGCTTCTTGAACTCGCTGGAAAATCCCAATCCAACATCACCGAGCTGGGGGATGAACTGCGACTACAAGCATCAGAGATCAGAAAGAAAGAGGACCCCAAGTCGTCAGAGCTTGCATTTCAAGATGCCGACTCTCTACTTGACTTTGCAACCAAAAGATGGCAGGAACGCTGGGTTACCACAGACATCGCAGATGCCACTACTTTAGATCGATTCCTCTTGCGCCCTTTTTTCCTCCTTGTGAGTGTCGATGCACCAGTTAGCCTCCGATGGAAGCGATTTGCCGACAGGTTCGTGATCATACTTGTGACCATACTTGTGACTGAAGCCCGAGAGCTGACAATTTTTTTGCTTCTTTCATTTATAAAAGATGTTGGAGAAGACAGCTGGATCCTCCCGAGCTTGAAAAGTTCGTAATGTGGAACGACCATAATCTCTATGATAAAGAGATTGGACGCGTATACTTGACCGATAAAGCCCAAGTGCGCCTATTCAACTCTTCATCGTCCCTCAAGGAGCTACACTCAGCTTTGCAAACACTTGACCTGGCCGACGAACAACGGTTGAGGCCAAATTGGGACCAGTATTTCATGCAGCTGGCTTCTCTTGCCGCCCAAAGAAGTAACTGCATGAAAAGGAGAGTGGGATGTGTGCTCGTTCAAGATAGTCGTGTCATCAGCACAGGGTATAATGGGACACCACGGCATCTCCAGAACTGCAACCAAGGTGGATGTACGATGCAGACCAGAACCCACCCCAATGCTTCTATTGTTCATTTTGCTCACCAGAAATCATTTATAGGCCCACGGTGTAATCGTGGGGATGGAGGGGGAGTCGGTCTCTCAACCTGTCTTTGCCTTCATGCTGAAGAAAACGCATTATTGGAAGCAGGGAGAGAGCGGATTCGAGAGGGGGCGATTCTATATTGTGATACGCAAGTCCACTCGATCCTTCAATGAACTGTGCCAAAGACAAAATCTTACTGTGGATCCCAGATGCCCTTGTTTGACTTGCACTGTCAAGATAGCCCAAGTTGGAATTTCGGAGGTTGTGTACTCTCAAGGATACAATATGGATAGTGACGTAAGCCAATGCTTGTCAGATCCAGAGGTTCTAATAATCTAATTTGAATATACAGAGTGCAGCTATCTTACAAGCAGCAGGCGTGCGGCTACGGCAATTCCATCCGGTACCTAATCTTCCTTTGAAATCCTTACCTATTTTATACATAACTGACTGCAAGCTTACAGCCTTCGAATGGACTCATCTATCTCCAGGAGTCCGAGAGAGCGGTCACAACTGAAAATCAAGAGCCTACAATACGATAGTGAAGGCGTGGGGTAACCTAAGCTTGTGAAGAGAAATATGCATCTGCATTAGTACACATTTGCATCACCCCGGAGCTATATCAGTTATTGTACAAAGTAACACGTCCAGATAACATTGCAATTCAAGAGGGGATCCATGATGGAAACTAAATGCTCTCAGGGCTATGTGGTATGCCACAGGGGTACTACAAAATACATATGATATAACTCAAAATGTATTTATAAAGTACAAAAAAACTCGTAAATCGCATAGTAATCACTCCGTATACGTTATAAAGAAGTAGGGTAATGTGCCTTCTTTCTCCGCATTTTATCTGGCAGAAAAAAAAGGTATGACTCAGCGCGCGAATTTTGGCGGGGTCCTCAAGGAACCCCTCGACGGTCTTTATAGCTGGATCCAATACCGTTTTGGTAGCTCAACGTCGATAATCCACTACATTGCCCGCTGCCAGCTGCAATTTGTATTGTGTCTCTGGCCTAAGTCCCTACAGCCATGCCTACTGTCCATTTGCTAGACTACGTTGCGGGGAACATCCGTTCCTTAGTCAATGCGATCAACCAAGTCGGATATGATGTCGAATGGGTTAAATGTCCCGAGGATGTGAAAAATGCTGACGTTAGTCAAATACCCAGGACCAATTCTACTATGGCTGGCTCACAATGATGCCATTGCTAACAATAAATCCCCAGAAACTGATACTCCCTGGCGTTGGCCATTTTGGCCATTGTCTATCCCAACTGGACAAAGGAGGATTCTTGGAGCCTATCCGGCAGCATATCGAAGCAGGGAAGCCTTTTATGGGGATCTGTGTTGGTCTCCAAGCCCTTTTTCAGGGCTCGGAGGAGGATAGCGATGTTCCAGGGCTTGGAGTGATTCCTATGCGCATTCAAAAATTCAACGACACCTCGAAGAGTGTACCGCACATTGGATGGAATTCGGCAATCGACACTAGATCTGATGGCACAAAGAATCAAAGCTTTTATGGCCTGAGGCCGACCAGCAAGTATTATTACGTCCACTCCTATGCGGCCCCCTACAACCCAGGTGTATTGGAAAGTGACGGCTGGTCTGTGGCTACAGCTACGTATGGCGAGGAAGAGTTTATTGGTGCTATCAGTCGAGGTAACATCTTTGGCGCCCAATTTCACCCAGAGAAGAGTGGCGTGGCTGGGCTGCGAGCCATACGCGCATTCCTGAATGGCGATCAATTCCAGTCACTCTCACAGGACCTGGTCACTGGCAAAGAAAATGGGCTCACTCGTCGCATTATTGCTTGCCTTGATGTTCGGACAAACGACTCCGGTGACTTGGTTGTCACCAAGGGTGATCAATATGACGTCCGAGAGAAGAGTGGAGCAGACGCCGGCGGCAGCGTTCGAAATCTCGGTAAACCTGTTGACATGGCTAAGAAGTATTACGAGCAAGGAGCAGATGAAGTGACCTTTTTGAACATCACCTCTTTCCGAAATTGCCCCATTGCTGATACGCCCATGCTTGAAATTCTGCGACGCACATCAGAGACGGTCTTTGTGCCTTTGACCATTGGCGGAGGAATCAAAGACACTGTCGACACTGATGGCACCAAGGTCCCTGCTCTGGACGTGGCAACGATGTATTTCAAGTCTGGGGCCGATAAAGTCAGCATTGGCTCTGATTCTGTCTTTGCCGCTGAGGACTATTACCATGCCGGCGAGAAGTTGAGTGGCCAAACCGCAATCGAGACGATATCAAAAGCCTATGGAAAGCAGGCTGTTGTGGTGAGCGTCGATCCCAAGCGGGTATATGTGGATAAGCCAGAAGACACCCACCACCATACAATTAAGACCCAGTTCCCCAACACAGATGGGCAAAACTTTTGCTGGTACCAGTGCACTGTCAAAGGTGGCAGGGAAACTCGCGACATCGATGTGCGGCAACTTGTGCGGGCTGTTGAGGCCATGGGAGCTGGTGAAATTCTTCTGAATTGCATTGATAAAGATGGAAGCAACAGTGGATTTGATCTGGAATTGATCAAAGATGTCAAAGCTGCGATCAAGATTCCGGTCATCGCTTCAAGTGGGGCTGGCGTACCTGCCCACTTTGCAGAGGTCTTCAACAAGACCACCACTGATGCAGCATTGGGAGCAGGAATGGTAAGCTTGCATTCTTCCAAATAGTTTTCTCACAACAGAGTCTCTGACAATGTCCCAGTTCCACCGCAGTGAATATACCGTAACGGAAGTGAAAGACTACCTTCAAACCAAGGGATTCCTGGTCCGCCAATTTGAAGCTGAAATCTGAAGGGCTGTGTCAAAGGTGTGATATTTTATCATGGGCATCTTTTGCAATTTTTATGTTTTTATACGAGAATAGAGAATAGAGATCATGAGGGCCAACCCCATTAACTAAGATACATATACAGTTAAAATGAAGCAACCTTGGAAGTGAAAAAAGGGGATAAAAAACAGTTTAATATACACAAGGTAGACAGTCTCTGTCCTTAATGACGTAGAACTTTGATGTTTTAGATTTATCTGGCTCAAGATGGTGCCAGGGTCGTTATATTAAAATACCACTCAAATGTCATTTTTCGGATATTTTTTTTCCTTCACGGTGGTCCAGCTGGAAGGATAATCATTAGCTATAGAAGACATATCGGGCTTGAGATGGTAGAATTCTATACCCTGAATAGTCGAAGGGCCCTAGTGCCTCACAGAGTACGGAGTAGTATGCAGCGAACACAGCCATGGATATAATGATGATTAAATAATCAATATACCTGTGAACAATTTTATTTCAATTGTATATTCAATAATAATACATATATCGAGTATGTAATACGGTAGATGCGGATTCCTGGTGTGGTCCCTAATGAATATTAGGGCCTGGTATAACGTATTTCATATGCGAGCGGCGCACCCCACCCAACCCATTGAATTTAAATGTAAATATCTCAACCAAAACGTCATTAAATTAAATCCACTAAAATCATCTATCTAGCTGGACACCTATTAAGTCTATGTCCAGTCTCTCTGCATCCACTACACCTTGGTGTAGCCCGCGTACGTGGTTCCAAAGCCGGTTCTTTATATATACCGGTACTAGGTAGAGGTACTTTATCTGCTTCTACCGGTGTAGTAAGCAATTAAGAAGCTTCCTGTACTGACAGGCCTACTTCCGCCTATATCTACCTCTGGGACCTAGTTCGCTTTTGCTTCTTCTTCTCGTTTTCCGCGCGTAATTCCTTGTTTTCTTTCGCTAGTAAGATAGCGCCTTGTATTGTAAGACAGAAGCCTTTTATAAGCTGGTTTAATATACAATCCGATAGGCTAGGCGGACTTCGAGATCTTATACAAAGTAAAGCTTTAATTGACGAAGCTTATCGGTGTAGTTCTTTCTCTGTAAATAGAGTTTTTAGGGTAAAATTTCGGCTTAATTCGCTCCCCCGGCTTAGGGGGGGGGGGTAGGTATTCGAAGACGAATATTCAGCTTTAAGATCACTCGGTCGGGTACAAAGGGTATTAAACCAGCTGCTCCGAAGCTATTTTTAATAGTCTCCGATTTAAAAGCTTCAATTTATAAAAGGGGGTATACTTCTAGGAAGTTAAGTTTATTAATATAGTTAATCCCACTCTGTATTTTTATCTTAACTCTCCGGCTGTAAGAGCGTTTTAACACCGTAAAATAACTAATATTAAGAGGTTATAAAAGATAAGATAAATACGCTGGTATATAAATTGGTATTATATTATTTTACTCGCAAACTTCGTTAAATTTCGGTGTTAAATAACTTCTGTAGCTATTAAGAATTAAAAGCCGGTATACTCCTTTTATACGCGAAGAAGTTAAAGGAATAAAGAGCTTTTAAAGCTAGCGAAGTCCAATTTTATTAGAAGTCTAGCCGTTAGGACTAACTTTAAAGCGCTAATCCTCCGGGAGGTTATCGAACTAAGATTCAATAAAGACTTTGCCTTTAAAAATTATATACGGAGGAAGAACCTAACCAGAAGTATTTATACTGTAAAGGTATACTGGTCTCAGGTGTAAGGCCTGTCAACCGGGTAAGATACAAGGACTCTGTGAGAGCAGACGAATACAATGTATTGTGTGGAACTGTCTCAAGACTAATTTTTACAGGAGTAAGTGGGATCCAGGGGGATCCCAGACTATAGGGTAAACCATCTGATCGACTGACGTGACCGTCATGTGACGAACCCCTCACGATCAGGTCACGATACTTGGCTGATTATATATTGGTCCTATATCAGCTGACTCCCGTATTGTCAGTCTCCAGGTTGTAAGGATCTTTATCCGTTACAAGAGGCTAGATATTATCTAGAAAGGATTAAGCTATAAGGAACACCCCTTACAACCAACCGTTGTTGAGAAGTGAAGTTGTAATCTATTATATTTACTATATGTTTTTGGGATGGCCACTCGGTTGTGGTGGCCGCTCGCTTGTGAAATACGTTAACGTATTTCACATGCGAGCTGCGCACACAAGCGAGCTGCGCAGTCCGATACCCATAGTAAATGCGATAAATTACAACTAGATATCTCAACGATGCTTGTCTTTGCGAACTTTTCCTTATAGCCTAATGCTTTTCATGTAATATCTTGCTCCTTTTAGGAGTTTGGCGGAATTTAAGCAAGGTTAAGAAATTCATGACTGAGATATATAAATTCACAGGATTTAGAGACGTAATTTTCGATACCATAATAATGTAGGTTTTTAATCCACTCGAAATTGATGTATACTACTAAAAATTCTTATCAATCTCTATCGGCAAACTACTGTTAATAAAAAACGTTTGGTTGTGGAGATATAAGTGTAGCATACATCGATTTTACTATGGTGTTTCGACTGCGCAGCTCGCTTGTGTGCGCAGCTCGCATGTGAAATACGTTAACCTCTTTGTGGGATTACTAAGCCCTGCCTTTAGTAATCCCTCTTGCTGAGAGCACTTCCTTGGCGCGACCAAGTAATCGGCCTCAGGCACCAAACAGTAAGCAAACCCTGCAAACTGCTTGGGAGCACAGTACGCCTCGCCTGTGGCCACGTGATATACTGGATATAGGTATAATCCTACTCATAAAAGCGGTCTAGAAGGCGGTGGAACCAGAAGCAAATCATCTGACTTTTCCTCACTTGCCACTTCTTCACCTTCTCCTCTCCGCAGACGACACATCCGGTGCTACGAAACTTACATCCTCACCATACACGGACATTATTTCTCCTACTTCTTTCCGTCTTTTGTCTCCCTCTTTTTTGATACCCTGTCCAACCGTGATTATCAAATCACATTACCGCGACGCTTCGGTCTCGTTTGATAGTGAATTTGCTCATTCCTAACAGGTGTCTCTATAACTGGATTTGGTGTGTGCAAGGATCTCCAGACAGGTCTGATCACAAGTCAGGGTGCTAGGGTGGTTGCAAATCACTTGAAGGACGGGGCAGACCATCAAATCTCTCTTGAATACACCTTTTTTTAATATTCATCACCAGTGTTCCTTCGATCATCGTATTCATCCATTCTTTGATCTCCATTTGTATGCAGTGACCTGAACACTCACCATTCAGCATTCAAAAAGATTCATTCACACATTCTATTGTTCAGTGGTCTATTGATCCCTGCTTTTTTTTCTAAAATATCTTGTGCTTTCTCTGTTATTTGAACAGATACCATCTGTTGCCCGAGTTTCTTTGTTGTTACTGGTGATACACCAGTTTCACATCATCCCACGATTTTTTCTTTGCTCTCTATTATCCCCTATTGCTCATTGTACACAGCGGCGGTGCCCCTAAATTTGGGTCTTAATACACCCACAGCCATCTTTGTTGCATCATCCCCCTTCCAAATTGAATACAATGTCATCGTCCGTTCATTTCAAGTTCAAGTCCCAGAAAGAACCCTCACGGGTCACATTCGATGGCACTGGTATTTCGGTCTTTGAGCTCAAAAGAGAGATTATCAGCCAGAGTAGATTGGGCGATGGGAGTGACTTCGAGCTGTCGATCTACAATGAGGACACCAGAGAGGGTAAGTTACCTAGTTACCCAATTCCAATATGCTCCATTTGTTCCTGATTAACATGAACCTCTCTGACTTCCAACAGAATACGACGATGACACCACTATAATCCCTCGGTCGACTTCTGTGATCGCCCGTCGATTGCCTGCAGCGCGCCCTGGTAAGGGCGGTGCCGCTCGTTATGTTTCAGGCAAGATGCCAGTCAACGCTCGCAGTACCCCTCGCAATGAACCATCGATGAGCCGAGCAACACCCGGCACGGGGCAATCCGTGAACAACAATGTTCTCGAACTCAATAACGCCCAGACGGAAGAAGAGAAGATCAATGCTCTGTTCAACCTGCAGGCTAGCCAATGGCAGGAGCAACAGCAAGAAATGGCAAAGTAAGAGCATCCCAGCCAGACTTTAATTATGTTGGAGATATTGATTCAATTTAGCGCAACACCAGTACCATTTGGTCGTGGTAGAGGGAAACCTGTCAATGTACCCGACCACCCTCCGCCTCCAGGGTATCTTTGCTATCGTTGCCGGGAAAAAGGTATGTTCCTCTGGCTAAATCACATACTTTACCTACTACAGACCACTAAACTTCGTATGCAGGTCACTGGATCCAAGCCTGCCCTACTAATAATGACCCCAAGTTCGACGGCAAATATAGAGTCAAGCGATCAACTGGCATACCACGTTCACTTCAAACCAAAGTCGACAAACCAGAATCCCTAGCCCCCGATGGCTCCACTGAAGACTCAAGGAATACAGGGGTCATGGTGAATGCTGATGGCGACTTTGTCATTGCAAAGCCAGACAAGGCAGCCTGGGAATTGTACCAAGAGAAGGCGAGGGCATCGGCGGCAGCAGCTGCCGAAGCAGCAGCTGCCGAGGAGAGCAAAGCATTGCAAGCTCGAGGTCTGGAGTGCCCAATTGACAAAAGGATGTTTTTAGAGCCAACAAAGACACCATGTTGTCAGAGGACATATTGCAATGATTGTATTTCAAATGCTTTGATTGAAAGTGACTTTGTTTGCCCGGGATGTGCTACAGAAGGGGTTTTACTTGATAATCTCATTCCCGATGATGAATCTGCGTCAAAAATTAAAGTATATGAAGCTGACAAGGTCGAAGCCAAGAAAGAGAAGGAAAAAATCGCCGCAGGCCCGGATGGTATTCCTGTACCCGAAGTCTCCCAAACTGAACCCAAGGAGCCTTCCGCCAACAAAGAGCAAAGTCCGCCCAATCAAGTCCAGGAGACCGCGCCCACACAATCCAAGAAAAGATCTGCCGAGGACGAGACTACCAGCCTGGGTGAAACTGCAACCCCCGAGGCGGGTAACGTGCCAAAGAAACAGAAGGCAGATGATGGTCACTCCGACGTTTCGACCCAAGCTAATAACGTCCAAGATGGCGCGCCTGGTGTTGCCCCAACAAATTTTAATAATCAGGATATGCCCTTCAACGGCTTTGGACCAATGCAAGGCATGCCTATGATGCCCTTCTCGGCTCCTGGATTCGGCAATGAAACCATGGGGCTTATGAACCCGATGGCGATGGCGTCTGCCAATGGCTTTCCTAGTGGCATGGCCCTGGGATGGAATCCCATGAATATGCCCTTCAATCCTCTTCAAGCTGGAATGTTCGATCAAAGCAATGGTGGCATGTCGAACGGATTTTCCAATATGTTCAATGGAGACCCTTCAATGATGTTCCCCATGGCTCAAAATGGGTTCCAAGGACCGAGCTCTGGAACGAACAATTTCTCAAATCAGCAGCGGACAGCTTTCAGCACACCATACTCACGGGAAGAAGATTCACCATATTTCCGTCAGCCTGTGAATCCGCAACGTCATCAGGCTAGAAACCGACGAGTTCGACCTAGCGATTACAGGGAGCTTTGAATAGATAAGTGCTGGCTATGGCTTAGATGGATTTGCATTATGGTTTTATCGGTACATTGTGTATATGCATGCATACCATTTAGAGCGGCTTTTTTTTTTTGCCCCTTTTCTCATTCGCTCGTGTCATCCTGAGGAGTTCTTTTTTTCGCCTCCTTCAGAATGTGTACTACTACCATAGCTGCAATAGGAATAATCTAATTCTTATTATTTCTCACCTCTCTGAATACTTTTGGGCAGGGATTAGGCATTAATAGCATTGGCTGCCTATGATGGCCTTGAGGTCTGTTCAATTAGTAAAAGCCTTACTGTTAGAAATTAATACCTCTTATCACCTATAAATTGATTTGGTTAGCAACTAGTAAAAATCATGTATAAGAGAGATAAAAAAAAGAGCTCAAGGGAGAAAGGTGAGGATATATAACAATAGTTATATTTCCATATACATACAACATAGAGATAGAAGGTCAGGTGACTGGGGGAAATTGCTCACCCCCTCCCATTCACACCGTCTCTACTTTGGACTTCCACAACGCCCACATCATCACTGTCCATTTCCTGTTCAACATCTGACTCGCTTTCTTCCTCGCCAAAATATCAACCGTCTTCATCGTGTCTTCTCTACTCACTTCAATTTTCAATTTTCGATTTAGGTCCATATCTTGACCTACGTTGTTCATCAAATACCTCACAGAAATTACCTGAAAGATCCGCCGGCTATCATGGCGAAATATATGAATAACCACAGTAGTAATTGCAATCAAACGCAGCGGTTCCTCGACCAAAACTCCCAGAGCACCGTTCTCGCTACTTGCTACAGTGTTGACCCGTCGACCTCCAAGGTCCACGGCTTCCACTACTGCACTACCCTGGGCGCCGGTATGTAACTTGTAACCCCAAATCGAGTTTTGCTTGAGATCTAATCTTCAAATTTAGGGGTACAGTGGTATCCCTGAGGTCCCTTCGGGGACTAAATCGTCTCTTAAAAGTCCTCCCCATGACATCCTCGATTCCCGCGCGGAACGAACTTGGCCTGAAAACAATTGGCCAGAGCACAAGGGGGAGGCAACGCATAACATCCCGGAAGAGTGTGAGAGACTCTTCTGTGACAGACTGTCTGCGACATTCCTGGGTGAGAGGAATTTCGTAGGACAGGAGTCACTGGGGATGGATGCGTTCCAAAATATCCAGTCAAATCAAATCGGAATCCAGCGATGGATAGAAGTGTGGGATTATTCAGGCGATGCTATCTACCGCGGATTTGTAGCTGAACACAATAAGGAGCGGACTTTGTTCGTCTTCTTCGAGGACCGTGCGCTTGAACATGGTCTCAAGTCAGGGTATGTACGCCCCTTGTGTTTCCTAGACCAGTCAAGGCTTTCCCCTTTTGTTTAGTGACAATCCTTCATGTCTTTTTTATACATCTGCTGATCTTTGCCCCTTCAGCCTGATCGCACTGTTTGAACTTGCCGATATTGCCACCTTTGGGTGCTCGCAGATAGTTGCCTGTGTCAATCGCTCCCAGCGCACAGATGAAATGGAGCTTGTGCGAAGTCTAGGATGGTGTGGATTCGGCCTCACCACCTTGGCACCCTGGGTCTCATGCGATGACCAAGGGCCTTGCCTTAGTAATAAATGGCTTTTCTTGGTTGCTGAGGTCTAACAATACCACACATCATCACATTCATTCATTTTGTTTGGATTGGAGTTACATGTATTTCTTTTATGTCTTGGTGCTTCAACTGTCTTGTTTATTTAGAGTATCGAGTGTGTCGAGTATTTCTTTACATATATATATACGGAGCACATGTATGTACGGAGTATGTACTGTTCTGATGAGAAGGACCAGTTCCCCCCACTTTAACAGAAAAAAAAGGCTGCGATGGTAAGATAAGAGATAAGCCATGTACACAGCGCCCTACCTATGTAGGTAGAGAGCTGCCTACATAGGTACATGTAGGTATGACCTCATATTCAGCTTTCACTTAGGCATATCCCTTCCAACCTTAGAAAGCCCTTCAAGATCTTTCCAGAGTGAAGCAACCTGAAGACACCTGTTTAAATCTCTCCCAGAATGTCCAAGGAGCGTGTCAAAAACCTCCAGTTCCCCAAATTCCTCCTTCCCTCCGTGTTTTCTACGAAACGCAGTGCGGGGCTTTCTCCAACGGACCATAGACCACAAAATACGAAAATCGAGAAGTATCTCGACGGCCATGTTTCCTATCTGCGCTGTGCAGGCTGTGCCTCCCATCTTTGTTGGACTTCCCAAATTATTAGCAAAGGGTTTACAGGTCGCCATGGCCGTGCCTATCTTGTGTCGGCGGAGCCAGTAGCCACTGCTGTGTCGGTCAGTGCGTCGTCTTCGCCTACAGCCTCACTCCCCAATACGATATTGCAGCGTCCAGTTCCTCGCCAGCTTGTTACAGGAGCGCACACAGTTAGCGACGTTAGCTGCTTATTCTGCGATAGTGTCCTGGGCTGGAAGTATGTTGCAGCCGAAGAAGAATCACAGCGGTACAAGGTTGGCAAGTTCATCCTGGAAACTAAGAAAATCGCCACCTCTTCATGCTGGGAATCTCCATCCGGTATGGATCATGCTATGCAAGCCAATCACCAATATGAAATCGAGTCTAGGCCAGTAAATACAGAATTCGACAGCCAGGACGAAGATGAATGTGAGGACCTGTTCGCTGGGATCTGGAGCCCTGGACTTGCTGCACGTCGAAGAAACCGTGAGATTAAACGTCGACCCGCAATTTGGGGAATCTCATAAGCCGCAGGAAATCCTGGGGATGGACCTTGTGGGATGAGGCCAATGCATAATGTGACATGATACCCTTTTTAACAAGATCCTTACTTTTTCTCTACTACATGAATCAACTATAATACATATAGCTCGCGATTCATGATTAATTTTTTTTGGGTGTGAAGTCCGGCATTTCGCACAAGACCTGGTTCGTTGAATTCATCAACACCCCGGTAACTTAGATGGGTTCTATGTAGGGTGGATAAAAAAAGGAGGGGATGGGGCCCGGGGGAAGTAAAATTCCGATTCGTTCAAACACGAGACCGTTTGGAGTTATTCTCTGTGGATTCCTCGGCAGGTCTTTTTGAGGCAGTTTCGGCTTGCTGGGTTGGCTGCTTGGCAGGCTTGCGTTTGACAAGGGCAGACAGATCTGTTGCTCCCTTGCTAGCTGCATCAAGCTGAGCTTTTTGGTCCGTTGCTGATTGACCGATAATCTGACCCAGAACTCCTTTTAGCATAGCCTGATTGGCTTGGTCGTTCTGCTCAATTGAGATAGGTGGTCGGCGCAGATCACGTAGCTGATTTATTTTATTATTGATGAGTTCAGGCAATACAAAAGGAAAGACAGAAGAAGAAATACCTACCCTTTGCTCCATCTCAGTCACGATCTCCTTGACATTTGTGATCTTCCGCTTTGTTGCAGTTGCTTTGTCTTCATCCCCATCCTTCTCAGCCTCAAATTTCTTCTCCTCTTGGGCCATTCGGAGTTTACAGCTCGCGATGGCATGTTCCATCTGGGTGGCAGCTTCTTTCCTCATCTTTTCATCAACTCTGGTTTTAGTGTTGCCATCCTCCTCATCACCTTGCTGGGCCGATGCAAATTCCAGGGCGAGGGAGAGCTTGTAATGGCACTCAGCAACAGAGGGGTCTTCTAGAGAATATAGCGAGTATCTCAACTCGAGAACAGTTCTCAAGTCGGAAACCGCATCATTGAATCTCTCTGCTTCTAGCGAGATTTCAGCTTGAAGATCATGTGTGTCTGCGATTCTTTCCTTGATGTGCTTTGTGTCCGATGATACCACAGTCGATTTTCCTTTGTCGTCATTTTCCTCTGCAGCACTTAGCTTCTTGAGGTATAGCACACGGGCAAGATCTAGGACCTCAAAGGCATTGGCAAAATCGTCGTCCTCTTCATCGTCCTCCGCTTGCTCAGCAGTTTCCTCATCCTCGTCTTCAGAGTCAACAAAGTTCTCGTCTCCTGAAAACTGGAAGAATGGCTTAGATTCGGTGGATTCTGGTTCTTTGTCTGCGCGCTGGGTGGAAGGTGGCTTTCCGGCCATCGAATTCGCAATCGCGTCTTGAACAAGGGAATCACTAGTGGGGTTCGACCCAGCGGAAGATATATTTGTTGAAGATGCGGTGCAGGATTGTGACTGTTGCTCGCCGGCTACCTTGGAGCCAAGGACATCACTTTTACTCACAGCCACATTGTATAATGACTTTCCGTACGCATAGAGTAAATCAGCATTCTCGGATGACAATTCGCCGTTGAGTTCGGCCTGAAGCTCAGTAGCTTGGGAGTACAGCTCGGAGGCAGAATCGTGGTCTTTGATTGCATCTTTTGCAGCTGCGCGTGTGATCAAGTCATCGAGTTGGGTTCGTTTTTCCTGCTTCGAGGCGGGAGATTGAACATCTTGTGGGTCAGCCATAGTGGATGCAATTTTAGTGAAGAGTAAGTAGTGAAAGAAGGAAGAAACAAATCGAAAAATCGGAAGGATAGCTTTTCCTAAGAAGTCAGAATAAGACTAAAGTATGAGAGTCGAGTGAAGTGGGAAAGAGAGAGAGAGAGAGAGAGAGAGAGAGAGAGAGAGAGAGAGATTTGAAGAAGCTTTAGCTCCGGCGCGCGTGTCACGCGTCTTCGATTTAATTGAATTCTTGTATCTCTCCCTCTCTTTTTCTCTGTCTCTCCACATCTCCTCTATTTCTGTGCATTTACTCTATTTTTTTACTAGAGCCTTTTCTATTCTCAATTGATTTCCGCTTGAGCTTCTGAACCGAGACCCAATTTATAAGGCTTTGTCGCGTTCCTTGAAGTCCTGAGACAATATGGACGCCTCAACACCGCGACACCCTGATCGTTTCAGAATGTTGACAGAAGACCCTATTCCATCATCCTCCCCTGCATTTGGGACACCAGCACGTCCATTTCGAATACCCAAGGGAAATGTGCCTCCCCCCAAAACTTCAATTTTACCAATCTTACTACCTCCATCAACTTTACGCCCAGTAGCCTTTCGAACCTTTACCCGCAAACATAATCTCACAATATCATCATCTGCGCTTCAAACATTAGCAGTGTTTGTGGGCAAAAACTGTGGCTCGGGATGGCGCGAGGAAGGCCTAGCAGAGCGAGTCCTAGATGAGGTTGCGAAGATATGGAAAAGAGCCGGCGGAGGTGTGATTGTCGAGGAAGGGAAAGGAGCATCCCTAAAGACAATACTGCAAACTCTCGAGGGCAGTATGAGTGGTGGTAGGGTTGTTGTTGGGAAAATGACTTCCCAGGATGGTACCTTAAAGGCATCCACCCTGGGTGTAGACGATGGGCGGATTGAAACAGCAGTTGTTACCTCAAACCAAGGGACCGCTGAGGAAGATGACACACAGCTGTCACTTCACCCGAGATATTGGCTCAAAGTAATTGACGCCTTTGATCTTCCGCGTTTGACGTATAACGTTGACAAGAAACACTTCGAAGCCATGAAGTCAAAGCCATCCTTGTTTCCATCACCATCTCACAAAACTGCACTATTCCGAGATCGGTACAATCTTGTCTATCAGCGATTGCTCCGCAATGAATCTTTTCAGAGCTCATTGGGTGTCGCTGGTATTCCTTCACTGCAACGTTCATCGTCCAATTTTGCCCACCGACAATCCTATAAACTGACACCAATCGCAAATCTGTTGGGCAGAAGTGGGACCTCACATCTACTACTAGGGCTGCTTGCAATTTCTCCTACTGGAGATCTGTCTATGGTGGACTTGACTGGGAGTGTAGCATTAGACTTGAGCCATGCCCGGATGATACCAGAAGATGGCGCATGGTTTGCGCCGGGTATGGTTGTGCTCGTCGATGGCATCTACGAAGAGGAAGAGGTGGTAAAGGGTGCTGCATTGGGAGGGAATACAGGAGTTGGTGGTGCAATTGGAGGTCAGTTTGTCGGCATATCAATCTGCGGACCTCCCTGTGAGCGACGTGATATCTCGCTAGGAACAAGCAACCGCCACGACAGCGGACAGATAAGTTCCAGTGGTGGGTTTGGGTGGGTGGACTTTCTCGGATTGGGAAGTGAACGTGCCCAGGGTGCACGAATGAGAAGAATCGAGGAAAAATGCCTACGAGGAGACCAGGACGCCCCAGAAACGACCAGGCTCAAAGTTGCTATCATGAGTGAAGTCAATCTAGACAACATGAAGACACTGGACGCTCTGAAGAAGATCTTCACTACCTACAATGATCTGTGTCTTCCTGCACGTCCACAAGCCTTTGTTTTGATCGGCAATTTTGCGCAGAAAGCTATCATTAGTGGAGGTGGCCGAGCTGGGAGTATTGAATACAAGGAATACTTCGACTCATTGGCACTTGTTTTGTCCGATTTCCCGGCGTTGCTACAGCACTCCACCTTTGTCTTTGTGCCTGGTGATAATGATCCTTGGGCATCGGCATTCTCTGCTGGTGCGGCCTCAACAGTACCACGCCAACCAATTCCCGAATTGTTCACCTCTCGAGTCAGACGTGCATTTGCAGCAGCAAACTCGGAGTTGAATAAGTCACAAACTCCTGAACCCGCGGGTGATGCAATTTGGACCTCAAATCCGGCACGTCTTTCATGGTTTGGGCCAGTGCATGACATCGTCATCTTTCGAGATGATATCTCAGGAAGACTGAGACGTAGCGCTGTCAACACCACCCTTGACAATGAGTCATCGAACAGTGCTACTGGTGATGCAGTCTTCGCCACGGGTGAGAGCCAGATCGAAGACATGAGCCAGCAACAGGGCACTAAGGCAGAAACCGCATTATCTGGAGCGTCAATGGCTCGTAGACTCGTCAAAACCATACTGGACCAAGGAACAATCTCCCCATTTCCGTTGCCATTGCGGCCCGTTTTATGGGACCATGCCTCAGCCCTACAGTTGTATCCGCTGCCAACCGCATTAGTACTTGCAGACCCCGATGCTGCACCGTTTTGCATGACCTATGAGGGCTGTCATGTCATGAACCCCGGCCGCTTGCTACCGGAAGGTGGTACTCCCATGGCCAGATGGGTCGAGTACGATGTGTTACGCAACAGAGGAAAGATCAGAGAAGAGCGTTGTTAACCTAGCTGTAGGAACGATTTAATTAGAATTTCACGTATCATGAACAGAAATACATTTAGATGCTATGTCATATCGAGACCTAAGAATACACCGTGAAGAGAACATTGTAGTTGCTCTTGCATTGAAACGGAAAAGGCTCAAAAAAGGTATTGAGCTACACCGAAGCCCTGGAGAGGACGGAGATAGAAATCTTTGGATAAATAATCACAATGCTCACTTAGTCAATGGTGATGACATCAGTACTTCCCCTGGCTTGTGGAGGGGCAGATGTCGAGCTTTGGATATGCAATTGTTTTGGGATTTGCTCAGATTTGGCTTCCACTCCTTTATCGAGTTGAAGATGGGGAGCGTTAAGGTACTCATGCAGCTCGAGTATGAGGTTTCCAACCTTGTTGATACTCGCTACTGCTCCATCCCCAAGGCCGTTCCAACCATCGCCTTTTGACTGATAGAGTTTCTCTTGTATAAAAGCTGCGACCTGAGCCCGACCAGACTGGTCCATTCCGTTGGCATCCCTTAACATCCAGACCAAGCGGTCCTGGTGCATCACTGCACTCAAGTGGAAACGAGACCTTAGTTGAGGATAATGAATTAGGTATACAGTCGGTTTACGCACGATGATCTGCACAATTGACAGATCTGTCTGGCTTGACTGAGGAGTGATCTGATCTAATGATCGTAGCAGAGGAAGCGTGGTAGCCAAGAGTTGGAGGGTTGATTCAACACCGGCTTCAGTGAACCGCTGGTTCAAAGCCACAGTGAGGGGCTCCTGAATCCTGCGATGAGGGCTGGAGCTTTCGAATTTGATGCCCAGTTTCAGTTGGAAAAGAGGCTTATTCTTTGAAATAGCATCGGCGACGTCAACATAGTCAGACAAAGAAGGTCCCTCGGCGCTGATATCAAAGAAAGCAGAAAATTTGTTCTCCGGCCCGTAAGCAAAATCGATTCTTGACAAGGACAAAGACTGGGGCTCCATTCCCTTCCGTATGAGGGACTGAAGAATAGAGAGAACACACTCGAGTCGCTGCAAGAGTTCGAACAGACAAGCAACAACGGAATGTCCAGCTGGCACAAGCAAACGAAGTGCGAAGCCAGCACCCTTGTCTTCAATAATTAACGAAGAATCCATCTTTGAGACGAGGGGCACCAAGGATTTGATGCGGGTTTTCAAAGTGCCATGAGCCATCATTATGACAGAGCGGCTCTGGCTGTCAATTCCATGGAAAGCTAGCCGAATCATTTCTTTGAATTGCGACTGCTTCTTTACCCCGAAGGGCAAGGTGACCCGGAAAACAGGTGGAAGTGTGGACGAGCTGTAGTTGAATAAGAGATCCGGAACTGTGAGATCCTTTTCTAACTGCAATTCCTTTAACGATGGCCAGAAATGCATGGCTGGCAAGTCTGCTAGATAACGCGCATTGGCATGGATCGTTAGTATTCCAGTGAGACCATGGACTAGCTCGGCACATGTTGTGTAATTGAGCCGTCTCTGCGGAGAAACGAGAGCTTCGCTGACGACGTGGACCTGCGGAACACTCACACCATGATCGCCAATACTATAAAATGGTCCCATTTTCGCTGCTTCGGTTGGCCGAAGTTGAACAAGCCACCAGCGGTCACCATCCATGCTGCTGGTCGCTGCAGCGACCCAGTGTCGGTTCCAAAGCCGATGGGTGAAGAAAGCAGTCCGCATTACACCAGGAGGGAACAGCTTGCGGGGATCAACCCCAAGAACTCTTTGATTCACAGATTCGAGACCGAGTGCCTTTGTGGCGGAATCAATCTCATCCACCGCAATGATACACCGCAGTCGGGCAACACGAGATAATATCTCTTCTATCGATGATTTATAGAGCCCTCGATCACCGTCGAGGCGCTCCAACACATGTGGGGTCCCGCACAGGGTAATGGATCCTGACATAGGCTCAATAGAAACCCGAAGAGAACGTGAGCCTGTAAGTTGCACATCAAGGCGACAGTCTCCGGGTTCTGTCGGTGATAGCTGAGCCTGTAGTGATAGTGTGTGGTTTGAGAAAAGAGTATGCTTTTTGAGGGTGGTAAATGCGGTAGAGAGAAGATGTGACACGTGTAATGCGATGACGCTTCTCAAAATAAGCTCCATAGATAGATCACCTGGGCTGAACCTGATCGGATCACTGCTGACCTGCTGGCCGTCACGCATCCATCGGAAGCCAATATGAGATATCCCAGGCTTCGGGTCGCTACAACTGCCACCATAGTGACCACTCTTCACTCCGATTTCGAGCCAGCTCTTCGGTCCCGATCTCTGAGGCCAATACTGGACAACAAGTGTTCGATGTAATAGCTCAATACGCAACGCATCTGCCCAGAGGCCCCGAGAAAGGTCCACGGCTTGCTTGAAGAGAATGTTAATTTTGTTCGTAAGAACGAGACCGTGGAGAAATTGGAAACATCCCATCAAGCCATCATCACGAAGTAGATCGTTGATTTTACCGTCAAGTTCATTGAATATTCGACCTTTTGGTATAGGTGATGATGGCGAGAAAAGAAAGCGAATGTCCACGAAAAAAAACTGCGATGCCTTTGACTCTTCGGCAACTGAGAGATCAAGTTCAAATTCACCAGAAATTGTGAATGTTACCCGGCCATCATGGACCCGGTAATTGCGCAGTGGGGGCGGCACTGAATCATGTAATGCCAATCGCACGCTGATGATTCGGTTGAGTTTAAGTAGCTTTTTGAGCGTTAACCGTGCTGTCAATGGTGTGGGCGGTTTGTAACCGAGCTGATAAATATGTTAGAGTATTACATGTTGCCAAACAATTCGGGAAACTCACGTCTGGCAAAGAGGCTACTCGCCCCTTTGATAATACCTCCACCGCTGTTTTTAAATCTGGGTTGGCGACTTGCGCTCGAACAAGATCTCGCTTCACTTCACCGACATACTGGAGAGCTGCGTCGTATGATTGGTGTCGTGTGCGAATGAACCCTTGAATATCAATGAGTCTGCTGACATCTGCAGCTTGTCGACTCCATTGCGAGAGGACCAAAAGTTTGATGAACTCAGCTCTCTTGGCATGAGCGAAATCCAAGAACCGTAACTTCTTATGCACATTCTCAGATGACTGGTTGCCGGTTGGTTTTCCATTGGTTGGCATCGAACCACCCGAAGCTGGCACTTGTATCGTAGCCAATTCTGTAATCAACTCCGACAGCTCATTCCAACATTCCTGTACTGATCGATTGACCAATGTCCCGAACGGAAAGAACCCCTGTGTGATATGTGGCAGTATGAATGGCGTTGTCGGCACAGTTTCCTCTGCCTTATCTACGAGCGTGCTTGGATGTTGATTCGAAGCAGCAATCCCGCTCGATGCGCCGTTGAGATAAACCGATCCATTCATGCCGGAGGACTGAACAGACTTGTCGGTAGTACCAAAGACATTAGGCGCACCATTTCTGGCCTCATTGAGGCCTGGCCGCCGGACAGATCCCTCAATGTTGACATTGTCCATGACGACACCGGGCATTTCTGGAAGTACAGGCTAGCTGCGTTATGATTTTCCGTCCAAGCTTTCCTCCCCCTCGGCCCTCTGCACGGCGCAGAACAAGCGACACAGCACAGGCACTGTTCCGGGTCCGGTCCAGTCAGCGCTGGGGTAGGAAGGGAAACCGAAATCAAAGATAACGCCACAGATAGGTCCTCGATCTGTTGCCACGTGTTTCACGGACCGTGCAAACAAAAGGCCACGCTCATAATCGGAGGAGCTTAGCGCACGGCTTGGGATTCAAATGGGCCTCAAACGGTCGATCGAGGCTCGGGCGAGGATGGCAACGGATCGGGATCGGAATCAGTGTAAAAATTGCTCCGTATCGCACAGGTTTCAACTTCGATATGTCTAGTAGCTAGGTGTGACGAGGGTTGCCATGGAGTATCTAGATATTTCAAGGATGATAGCAGGGTTGTCGCAATGCGAGGAACGCAGCAAACCAGTCCGGTGGGCAAGAAACGAAGGGCAGAATAACTGTCAAAGTAACTAAGGTGAATTTGAAGCTTTTTTTAGAGAGTCTGGAAAAGAAGCACCTGAGAATAAAATGAGTGCCCAGAAGAGGACTGGGTTAACAATATCTCAAGCCCAAGATGATTTGATCAAAGCGCGATGCGCTGCATGCATTTACCCTACCGCCTTCCAGTGGGTGCCTTGATGCCTGGTATATGATGTATGCCTTTACATAGTACATATAGGTACATACAAAGTAATATATTTCGTATTATTAGAAGTACCAGTACAACCATTACGGCACAATTTAACACTGACCTGAGGTTCTCAGTGACTTCTTAGATACCATACCTTGTAATTGAAGAACCTCTGGGGTTCTCCCCAGACATGTCAACATTGGTCCTCATATGACCTCACCTCTTTGATACCACCTGGGCATCACCCAACACTACCACCTATGAAACCGCTAGCCCAAGTGAATTTTAACTGGGATTTATTACCTTGCAATACTATATGCTTCCATATTTGATTCATTTCTGGCCATGAAATTGGCTTTCCCATACTAGCCATGAGTATACAGGAGAATGTCGAGTCTCTTCCTCAATATCCTGGCGATGACACTCGGCCGACCAGCAAGAGGGAGCTTGCCGGCTGGTATTGTTATGGCTGGGCTGCCGAGGTTTTTGTGGTATGTGCCATGGGTACGTGTGATTCTACTTTCATGGATCCTCTTTTTTGGATCTTCACCACAGACTTTATCTGACCTGAGAAAAGGTTCATTTCTTCCGATAACGCTAGAGCAGATGGCTCGAGATCGGGGCGTGCTGCTGTCTGACAAAACTACGCCATGCAGCGCAACTTGGAGCCCCTCGCCGCCATCACCAGGCTCAGATACACCGGTACCCCAGGTATCAAATGGTGGCCAGTGCATCATTTACTTCCTCGGCGCTGAAATCAACACAGCAAGCTTTGCCTTGTATACCTTTTCATTGAGCGTCTTAGTCCAGGCAGTCCTGATAATTTCAATGTCAGGAGCCGCTGACCACGGAACCTATCGCAAAACACTGTTGATTATTTTTGCTTTCATTGGCTCAATTGCGACTATGTTGTTTTTGATTGTGGTCCCTAGAATTTACCTCCTAGGTGGATTGCTTGCAATAATTTCAAATACTTGCTTTGGTGCATCTTTTGTTCTTTTGAATTCGTTTCTGCCTGTTCTGGTCCGCCACCACCCCTCGCTCAAGGAAAGTGAAGAGGCGACACCGTCGGGTGATAATGTTGCAAGCCTCAGCGGTGACTCTTTGTTTTCTTCAGCCGGAAATAATGACTCAACGAACGTGGATGACCTCACGCCGTTACTCGGGCCTGACAGGGAAGTCACAAAGGCGTCTGCTGCCACTACCACTTCCCTGGAGCTCAAACTTTCCACCAGAATCTCGTCCAATGGCATTGGTATAGGATACATTGGTGCAGTAATTCTGCAGATGTTTTCTATCTTAGTTGTTGTGGTCGTGCGTCCATCAACATTCTCATTACGCCTTGTGCTCTTTTTAATTGGGTTATGGTGGTTTGTTTTTACTATCCCGGCAGCCTTCTGGCTGCGCACTCGACCAGGTCCACCTTTATTGGGCAGTGATGGCAAACCACTTCATTCATGGATCGGATACATGGCATATGCCTGGAAATCTCTTGGAAAAACCGTGACGCGGGCACGGCAACTGAAAGATATCGTGATCTTCCTTGCCGCATGGCTCCTTCTCAGTGATGGAATTGCCACTGTCAGTGGTACTGCTGTACTGTTTGCAAAAACCCAACTGAATATGAAGCCTGCTGCCCTAGGATTGATCAATGTGATCGTCATGCTTGCAGGAGTGTTCGGTGCGTTCTCTTGGAGATACATATCAAATTTCTTCAATCTACGAGCCTCGCAGACAATCATTTCCTGCATCATCCTGTTTGAGGTCATCCCGCTATATGGTCTTCTTGGGTTCATCCCGGCCGTGCAACGCGTAGGACTTGGTCTCCATCAGCCTTGGGAGATGTATCCTTTGGGGGCCGTTTATGGCCTTGTCATGGGTGGACTGTCATCATACTGTCGAAGTTTCTTCGGGCAACTTATTCCCCCAGGTTACGAAGCGGCTTTCTACGCACTTTATGCAATCACCGACAAAGGGTCTAGCATTTTTGGGCCAGCCATTGTTGGCGCTATTACGGATCGCTACGGTGAGATTCGACCGGCGTTTGTATTCTTGGCAGTTTTAATCATTGTGCCACTGCCACTTATGCTTTTGGTGGATGTTGACCGTGGGAAACGAGATGCTTTAGCATTGGGAGCCGAATTGGATGGCTTACAACAGGGACCTGAGTATGGGATCATATCTGACGGTCAAACGGAAGATCCGATTGAAGACTAAAGTATGTGACTGTGATTGTGATGTATGAAGTAGGAGAATTGCTTTTTTTTTTCTCCTTCAGTCTTCCTTTTCTCCTTTTCTTTTCTCTTTTTTCTTTCTTTTCGGGGTATATTAGTAGACCAGCGCTCTTCGTCTTGGGCTATACAGAAGCAAATATAGGGGTTTAAAGGAAATAAGGGTACTCTCATAGATTCTGTGGTTTTTAGTAGGGGAGTGTGTTGTATAGTCAATAAATATAAATAAAGGCCACTTGTCAACAATGCGTACATTATATACCACATGTACCGAATATCAAGGGCATATGTCCGTTACTATTATAGAAGTATTTGTATGAAGTACCACATTATATATTATAGTAGGGAATAAGTGCCCAGTACTTGAATTTCCATATAAACTGGGCTAGTCGTGGAGGTACCAGGTACCTGATGGAACCAGGTCCGCCCTTGCAGCCCTGCATAGCCCAGTCACAAAGCTCCACCTTTAGTGAACAAACTGTCCTCAAGTTCATTCTCCCCCCATTAAATAAAACCTTCCCTCTCTGGATATTTTAAGCTTGCCTCTAATTCATTCTTCACAACTTTCGACCTTGAGAGAGAGATATTCGGGTTTTTGTTTGATTTAACATCTCTTCATAATTATGCGGTCTTTCGCCCCCCTAGTCCTGAGCCTCCTTGGAGCTACTGCGGCAGTTCACGCTGCGGAGCCTGAAGTTGTCGACGCTGACGCCAATGTCGTCACCTTGACAACCGATACCTTTGATGACTTCGTCAAGGAGCACCCTTTGGTGCTTGCTGAGTTCTATGCGCCGTGGTGCGGTCACTGCAAGGCCCTTGCCCCCAAATATGAAGAGGCTGCCACAGAGCTGAAGGCTAAGGATATCCCCGTCGTCAAGGTGGATTGCACCGAGGAGGAGGAGCTGTGCCGAACCTACGAAGTTGATGGTTACCCTACTCTGAAGGTCTTCCGTGGCCCTGATTCACACAAGCCCTACGCTGGTGCTCGCAAGGCTGACGCGTAAGTCATTATGGGTTCCAGATTCTTGTACTTGATAATTAACGCATGTGTTCGATAGAATCATCTCGTACATGACCAAGCAGTCCATGCCTGCTGTCTCAAGTGTGAACGAGGAGAACCTGGAGGAATTCAAGGCCTTGGACAAGATTGTGATTATCGGATACGTGGCTTCTGATGACAAGACCGCCAACACGAGCTTCACTTCGTTCGCTGAATCCCAGCGTGATAACTTCCTCTTCGCTGCCTCCAATGATGCCGCTCTCGCCAAGGCGGAGGGTGCCAAGCAGCCCTCGATTGTTCTCTACAAGGACTTCGATGAGAAAAAGGCAGTGTACGACGGAAAGCTAGAGGAGGAGGCAATCCTCGAATGGGTCAAGACCGCTAGCACCCCTCTTGTTGGCGAGCTTGGTCCCGAGACTTACTCGAAGTACATGGCGGTATGTCTAGCTTTGTCTGTTCCGTATGTTGTGCAAGAAAGAAACTGACTGTCTACAACGACTTAGGCTGGTATTCCCCTGGCTTACATCTTCGCCGAGACCCCCGAGGAGCGCGAGCAGTTCGCTGCTGATTTCCGTCCCATCGCCGAGAACTACCGTGGAGCTATCAACATTGTTACACTTGATGCTAAGCTCTTTGGCGCTCACGCTGGCAACCTCAACCTTGAGCCCGAGAAGTTCCCTGCTTTTGCTATCCAGGACACCACCAAGAATGCCAAGTACCCTTACGACCAGAACAAGAAGGTCGATGCCAAGGATGTCGGAAAGTTCATCAAAGACGTCCTTGACGGCAAGGTTGAGCCTAGCCTCAAGTCGGAGCCGATTCCCGAGACCCAGGAGGGATCTGTTACCGTTGTTGTTGGCCGCAACTACCAGGAGGTTGTTATTGACAACGAGAAGGACGTCCTAGTTGAGTTTTACGCTCCCTGGTGCGGACACTGCAAGTCGTAAGTTTTCTACAGCTCATCTATCTTTTGTCGCATCTCTAACTCATTATCACCAGTCTCGCTCCTAAGTACGAAGAGCTTGCCGCGCTGTACGCCGATGTTCCCGAGTGGAATGAGAAGGTCACTGTCGCTAAGGTTGACGCGACTGCCAACGATGTGCCCGATTCCATCACTGGCTTCCCCACTATCAAGCTTTACCCCGCTGGTGCTAAGGACTCCCCTATTGAGTATGCCGGTTCCCGTACCGTTGAGGACCTGGTCACCTTCATCAAGGAGAACGGCAAGTATCAGGTGGACGGCCTTGCCGATGGCGCCAAGAAGCCTGAGGAGCGTGCTGAGGTCACTGCTGCCCCAAAGGCTACTGAAGCTCCTGCATCCGATGAGAAGGATGTTCACGATGAGCTTTAAGCCCTGCTCGTTTTTTTGAATCTGTAACTCAATATGTTGTATTCTTTGAACTCGAACTATATTCGATATCACGTTATTCCCTGTATTAAAATCAAGACTCGTAGTGGCTGGTAGGAGTCAATTATTCAATTATTCTCTAAATTCTACTCCGTACTCTCTACAGAGTATTTCATCACTAAATCCCAGCCTTGCAGATCAGTCGCGTCGCGTGAAACGCGTCGATCGCTTATCGCCCCGGGTCCTCCAACAACTTTGGAACTTCTGGGGTACAATCCTTCAATTTTCCTATGTATTTGCCCATCCATCATGGTCAGCCCTGCCATAAAACGAAAATCGGATAATCTCTCCACCCCTGACTCGAAAAAACCCAAAGGTAGAAGCATCACTGCATTCTTTGGAGCCCCAAAGCCGAAAACCCCGAGCAACCAGTCAACTTCAACTTCAACCGGAACCCCACGGTCAAGCAGCTTTGATAAAGTAAAATGGGTTGCCTCCCTGACACTGGAACAAAAGGAACTATTGCAGCTGGAAATTGATACCTTGGATGAGAGCTGGCTCGCGCACTTGAAAGATGAAGTTGTCAGCACTGAGTTCTTGAACTTGAAGCGATTCCTGAAGAAGGAGAAAGATTCCAATGTCAAGGTTTTTCCACCAGAGGAGGATATCTATTCTTGGTAAATTGGATTGCCTTACTTGGGCCAAACCTGTTGTGCTGATCAGACCGTAGGTCCCGGTATACACCCTTGCACAACGTCAAAGTGGTCATCATCGGCCAGGATCCGTATCACAATCACAACCAAGCTCATGGGCTATGTTTCTCCGTCCGCACTCCTGTGCGAGCTCCGCCATCATTGCTCAATATCTACAAGGGTATCAAGATTGACTATCCTGACTTCGAGTCACCGCCCGATAAGGGAGGGCTACTCACACCATGGGCTGAGCGTGGCATCCTGATGCTTAATACTTGCCTTACTGTTCGTGCCCACCAGGCAAACAGTCATTCCAACAAGGGCTGGGAGAAATTCACACAGAAGGTTATCGACCTCGTTGCTCGGGCACGAACCAACGGCGTCGTCTTCCTTGCTTGGGGCCGGCCTGCTGGAATCAGGGTGGCGAAAATCAACAAAGAGAAGCATTGCATTCTACAATCCGTGCATCCAAGTCCTCTGAGTGCGCATAATGGCTTTGTGAGTATATCAATCGCTAGAGATTTGTCCTTGAAACAGTTCTTTGCTAATAGGATGGATATACAGTTCAAAAATGGACACTTCAAGAAGTGCAATGATTGGCTTGCTTTGCGGTACGGAGAAGACGAAATCATTGACTGGAGCTTGGTGCCATCTAAAAAGTCTCCGTTGGCTCCTTGCGTTTCTGACAAAGAGAATTCGACCGCTTCGGCCAACAACCTGCCAGTTGAGCCTCAATCTACCAAGACCGAGAATGTCAAAGTCCAGCCTGGAAATGTGGATGAGTTTGATGATGATGACGCCGTTGAAGCCCTAGTGGCGGCTGAAGCAGCGGAAACTTCTTCAGATCCAGTTTAGACTTGTCACATGTATATCCCGATGTCACTTTGCTGGCTTAGAAAAGTCCTGTGTTGGCTATGTTTGTTTCCGTATTGTTTCGGTCGGATATTTAAGGAGTTGAGAAGCCGGGCGCATTTATGGATGGAATTTTAGATTGATTTCGGACACATTCGCATACACACACTAGTTAATTGTCATTTTAATTGATATGTGTAGAAAAATGCATACACGATGTACATACTCCGTAAGCTTAAGCTCACTACTTGGTCTCGGGACTGACTCCAGGTGGGCAACCTTTCTTGGAAGCTCCTTATCGATAAGCCTATCTCCCAAGGTCCGTTTCTTTCTCTACTGAAATCTCCCCTATAAAAACTTATAATATAAATAGTTTTCCTAGATGGAATTCACTTGGCTTCCGGATATCCCTCAGTCCCGGAATCGCACTCGAGCCTTGCGGGCTTGTCCCAAGTGCCAACGATCAAAGGTGCGTATACGATGGGAACATTAAACCCAGCAATCATCCATCTAACATCACAATAGAAACGGTGCCGACATTTGATCCCCAAATGGGAACCCTCCGATGATCCAAATCGACAGTCATCACCTCAACCGAGCAATGACCCTGCGAGGCCCATTCACAGAGAAGTCTCGAATCGCGAACAGTTTCCTACATCCGCGCACAGAAACCGAGCGCGGACAACACCCGACAGTCCAGCTTTGTTGCCGGTTCCTGTCACTGAGAGATTCGTGGGAGATCTCAATCCAGAATCTTTGATTCGCGAAAGATTAGATGAGCCAACTGGGAGCCCTCTGCGTGATCGTATCGGGCTTTGGATCAGCTCCTCAGCTGCGCAGAAAGCGAAGCTTCGAAAGCTCCAGGGGGTACAGAGAGGACAAACCACAACCGAGGAATATGTAGCCAATTCTCCGGCACAAACGGCAATCAATGGTCAAGCCATTGCATCGTTACTTCACCAACGGTTTGCCGCGGGGATGCAAGCATGTGAACAACTGCCCCTCAGGACAAGGCAGTCTTTGTCGGCTATCTACTTCTCCAAGGTTAATCATATTGTGCCAATAGTCGACCGGGATTTTATTCAAGCTCAAGCAGAAGGTTTGGCGTCGGTGTTTCTAGAAAACGCCATATGCCTCGCCGCAGCAAAGACCCACGCGAGCAACCCGTACTTACGCCTTGTATCTGGCGGCCCAATTCTACCGTCACGTCAATTCTGTTCTCAGATTTATAAGGGGCTTGTTGTCGCTATGGACACAGAGCTAGAGCCGGATCGGTTGACACGGATCCGTATTCTTGCACTAATGTCCTTGCACTGCGAGGGCCTTGAAGGGGCTGAGGCGGCATCTCTACACCTCTGCCAAGCCATCCACCAGGCCCAGACGGTAGGATTGCATCTCGGCCGGCCAAATCAAACCTCCACAGATTCCCTGACTAAACTATTCTGGTGTTTATGGACATTAGACAAGATGCATGCAAGTATCGGTGGCCGGCCGGTTCTTCTAGCTGACCGCGATATCGGGGTCGTAAAGCCCAGTGTCGGCACTCAGACTTCAAGAGGGGCATTTGAGGTGTGGCTTGCTGTGTCGGATCTACTGGCAACTGTGATATCATTTTATCGACCATCCGCAGAAACCACAAGCGGGTGGGAAGAGGGGTTCCCTGCATTTGAGGATATTGTGGGGGAAGATACTCAAGACGATCTAGACTTTGCTACTCTAGGTATGGAGATCTCTGCTAAATCATCCGGGCTTTATACTAACCACGAGAAGGCTTCTTAGAGCTTTATTATCATTCTGTTGCTATTTTGTCCTGTCGATATAAACCTACCGAGAACATCGATAACACCAGGCTCTCGTCTGTCAGACAAGGACTAGCAGCTGTTCGCATTCACTCCATCGTCGCATCCGAATGTGGGAATGAACTACCACCTCTCCCAATTGTGCCATACTCTGTCACCTTGTCGATGGGTGTCTCATACCGACAACTCCGCTCGAGCCGACTTATCACGCACCTCAACCGAGCGAAGGCTAGTCTTGAGGCGTGCCGCTCTGTTTTAGATAATCTTAGTCCATACTGGTACTCCGCCGAGGCCATGGCCCGGCTAGGCCAAAAAGCCCTGTACCAGATCCAAGGCAAGCCACAATCCTCTCGGACAAACCCTACGAGTCTACCGTATGTGGCAGAGCCCTCGCAGAAACAAGTCAATGCCGACAGCTCGGTAGCAGAAGGGCTAGAGATAGTTGATTCCGCGCCCCAAGGCAATGATGCCCCCCGAGCCAAGAGGCAGCGCAACAACGGCCATGGAATTGCAGCTATGTCTCCGGTGCCAGAACTTGCAACGAACATCATCCAACCCCCGGTGGGCGATCCGGATACATCTATACAAGACGGGTTTACAGACATTGACACACTGTTTGGAGAGTTCCTAGATATCTCTCTACCCACTAATTTCTGGGATCCTATTTTTATAGAGACTCAAGGACAAACGAATGATCCGCAGTCATAATCATCATCATTATAAGTATATACTGTGTATAAAAAAAAATGAAAAGAAACTATACATGATGCAACATGGATTTTGGTGCCGGGCCATTCGCCTGTGCAACTGTCCAATAGGTAAAATATACCTGGAGCACGCGAAAAACTGTTAATTGTATTTACAGGCTAGATACTGACTGTATCCAAGCCCGAGTTACCTTTGGAATATGGTATTCAGTCTGAAATCTTCATAGGCTCATGCTCGGACATGCCGTTGTCCGCCAGATGGGCGAAATCAACGGCCTTGTTATCAGTATCAAAGCCCATCATGTTCACATTATCCACGTCAAAATCAAACCCCTTCTCCCGAGCCGGGGCACCACCGTTTTGTGGGGTATTGTCATCAACAAAGAAATCGGTATTTGCCGGATCGTCGAAGTTAATGAGGGCATCGAAATCATTCTGGGTAACCTCGGCATCATTCGCCAAATCCATGAGTTCGGTGAGACTCATTTCAGAGGGCATAGCAAAGGCATCATGATCCTTGTTGCGATTTGCATTGAGATTGAGGTTATTGGTGCTACCATTTTCACTTGCATCGGAATGCGGCGGCGTCGAAGCGAAAAGATCTCCGGTGGGCCGTCCGCCTGCGGAAGGACCGGAGAGTTTGGGGTATGTAAGGTCCGGGATCTTTTGGGCGAGGGAATCTGGTGGTGGCGTCAAGGTGTGTAAGCGGGAGGCGATGGTGGAATCGAAGGAGTCTGAGGATGTGGTAGGTTGATCGCGGGGATATGATGAGGCAGAAGAAGACTGGACGTCTTGTGGGGAGACGGTGAGCTGGATGCCTGCTTTTCGGATGGCGGCTTCGAGGAAAGAGGTGGCAAAATCCGCAGAGGCGTAGATCTCACGCAGGCGCTGAAGGATGCGCATGCATTGATAGAAGCGATGGAGGCTTGTCATGCGGATGCTTGGGTCAGTCGACTTGATGTCGAGGAGATGGATGATGACTGCTGGTAGGAGGACTGTGACACCGGTGGTGGGGTAGTACCGAGTCAGGTCGAGGCAATGCAGGTCTTGGGCGATGGCAGTGATCTCGACTGCGGCGAATCGCACCTTGTTCCGGGACATGTCTTGAAGTTCGGCATCTGTGGATGGGTAGGGGATGGCGGGGAGGACTTGTGGGCGGTGCAGAGCGCTAGATGTGGTAAGATAAACCATCTTCAACAAGGCACGGTGGGAGTGCAGCACTTCGTCTGCTTCGGATAGCTTCGATCCACTAGAGGCTGCATATTGGGCTTCGACAGGGAGATTGGCCAGCCAGTCCTCTAATTCCTGGTCACAACTTCGTACCTCGAAGGTCTCTGCGGTGGATTTCTTCGGGACGAGCATCATCGTGGTCTCCATGGTGCCGCCAAACTTGTGGCTGAGAACTGAGTACTGGGCAGATAATACATGGCTGACGCAGAGACAGAGCTTCGCCTTCTCGATGAACATCAACGCGAGCTCACGTTGATGGCTGACACTCTGGAGAATCTCCGAGTTGCCAACGATAGCCACAACCTCGGGGGAGTAAGGATGGAATTCAAAGTCATCGAGACTCAGCATGGGCACATCACAATCGTCATCCTTGACACGCATGGGCCGTCGCATACCCAGGGCGATCAGCCGGTCACGGGTGTAGGTGCTCCACCAGATCCGCTTCCACATCCGTTGGCGACGCACATCCATCCGCGAGTTTCCGGGATCCCGATGCAAGCCGATCGTGTGGGCCAAGGACAGGCTGACACCCATCCAATGCCAGGTATCCTTTTGATCATCGGGGGTCTCGTACCAGTAGGTCATGAGCAGAAGCGACTGCACGAGCGAGATGCGATCCACCTCGTAGTCAAAATCATACAGAAGGCGAGCACGTTGGAAGAAGACCTTCCGGGCGACCTTGCGGGTCTGGTAGCCAGCGACCTGTAGATGCTTCATATCAATGAAGGCCACACCGGCGAACATGACGGCCTGGAAGAGTAGCAGACTGATGCGGTGGATTCCATCGTTCTGGACGATATTCTGCAAGAACTCCTCCAGGTCGAGCAAGGGCATATAGGTGTGAACATAGTGGATGTAGCTCTTCAATAGTTCGTTCCGTAATGTCACGTCGGGGATAGTTAAGGCACCCTTGACGGCCAAGTAGTCAATATCCTCTTTCTGGAGTCGTGCGGGGAGTCCTCGGATGTAATCCGGGAGGAAGCCACTGGCGGATCGTGTATTGCCAAAATTGGGATCTAATAGTTGTTGGATTTGCGAGGTCACATTGGCTAATGGCATAGAAGCGGGAACTGCTGGGTTCGGGGCCATGCGGCGTCGATAGTTGTCATCAGGGCCGATGCGTTGAGCCTGGTTTTGATCTATTATCATTATTATCATCATTAGTTTGCTTGTCGGTCAAAATGGAGTAGTTCGTGGGAGTTCCGAGGGAATTGACGAACATAGCAGATGAGGCATATGTTGGCTCTGATCCAAATCCACCGAGGCCTGCGAGGGAGATGTCGGCACCAAATCAGCCAACCCTGAAAGGTCACTGAGTTGGTGGAAAGGATTCTCCTCCGAGGCCTCCGGGGATTCGGAGTGGTTCTCTATCTCCACGCGAGATTTCCTAAATCACATGTCAGTTGACAAGTTTATATATAGATTAATTTTCGATTCCACAAACTTTCTGCGTTTACTCTCCGTGACCACACATTCAACCTGATCTAAACGGCAGTTCGTGCATGGAGAGCCATTCTCAACCACATCACAGCGCACTTTGCGGGCACGACAACAGCAACAGGCTTTCGAGGCGCGTCTCTTTACAGGTCGATTATGACCGGAGATTCCAGCCGTGGAGGCCTTTCGTTTTCCAGATTCGGTATCAGTCATGTTGTGTTATTGCGTCCGGGGGCGAACGGGGAACATTCGAGTTATATAGAGATACTGAGCATGTGACAAAAAGCCGAAAAGGGAAGAATGTCACGATATGTGAACATGTGAAAAAGGGGAAGGAAATAGAAAAAGGACCAAAAATCAGAGAATTAAGGGAAGAGAGAAAGTAAGAGAGGAAGAGAAAGAGAGATCCTTTTTTTTATTTTGAAATCCTGTGAAGGTTTTTTTACATAAGTATGCCCCAGGTTCCCACAGTTTCACTTACCATGGTTTAACCCGCAAATAGCCAAGGTTTTGAGGGGAGTAGATCAAAATAAATTACTGGTTCTACACCTAGTTATTACCAAACTATACCTAGTTATACCTAGCCTTGTATATGCAAATGATAATTACTTAATTAGGTAATATGCCACTACGGTCCCTCGGCCCCCGTGAATGTGAAAGATGATATCATTCTCTTCAACACATAACTATGTACTCCGTATACATAATATATATACCCAAGTCGGCTATATACTTCTCATTATATGAGTTTGAGAATTCATATTAAATCTCTTAAAAACTTCTTTCAATCCCCTGTTATTGCTCTTTTTCATTCCTTTTACAAAGTGGACCTCCGTCCCTCCGAGAAACACCGACAAAAAAGACTAAACTTGAAAAAAATAAAAATAACAAAAGAGTACTCCGTACGGAGTAGTGAAGATCCTAAATTGCGGGTCGTTGAAAAAAAAAAAAAAAAAAAAAAGGGAGTTTCCAGGATTTTCCCACATTCCCCCGACTATCCCGGACTGTTCAGCCAAGACAGTTCTCCAGTCTCCGACAAGCGGAGCCCATGTGGAGGAGATTTTTTGGCCTTTTGAGGCGCATGCCTGGACGTCTGGACCGATGAGTAATACGATCAGCACTATTGGTTTCAGCATTTTCAGTGAATGTCGATATATTTATCCAAATTATGTACAAAGTACAGAACAGAGTACATTCCAGTTGACTATATACTTTATCATATTTGTACAAAGCTGTACTCTATACTCTGCGCAATTATAGATCAAGGCGTTGATGTTTGAAACTGTATAGAACGTCAATTGATTCCTTACATGGTAATATCATAACCCGGTTATACGTCGTAATAGCACGGTCCTACATCTATCCATAATATGTTATTATTAATCTTCCGTGGCTAGGCCTAGGGCTCAGTGGAACGCCGTTATGCTTGAGACAATTGCACAAAAATGTACTCTGTACTACTACATATATCCAAAAATCAAAATAAATGATATACAATATACAATACACAGTATACAATATAATAGCCCGGAATCATGGAGTACCCCCTGAATGGACCAAAATACTATACATTTCATATGCCTCGTTTCATCCGAGTTCGTCCCCACGTGGACAAGAAGTGCCGATTTCCGGAAGAATGCTCAAAGTACTACCTATTACTCCGCGTATACTACGGAGTATACGGAGTATACGATCTATTCATCTCTTTCTTTGTTTCATTTTCAAATGCACATGACGCCATACCCCACAGTCGCAAACTGGAATTTAAGAGAAGAATATTCTGTTTTCTACCAATCATGGACATGGCAAAGGTCAAATTTTGTGATTTTGCATTGGAAATTATCTTCCCGGCATATCCCGTGAATCCTGGGGTAGAGGCTAAAATCACCATCACCAGATCTACTACGGAGTACTTATATTTCAAAAAAAGACTCAAAAGTGAAAAAGCTTATATAAATTACCCTATGAAGTCCCAACGGAAGATGAGGTTATATATATACTTGATCTTTCTAATCTATCCCCACGAGTACTCCGTAGCGTGGTAGGATAGATCTGGTCTCCATCTAAATCTGATCCGGCGCTTAAACTAGGCGTCTAGAGTGGCTTGCATCTCGGTCCAATGCCGATGGATTCGAATATTCGCTTGCGGGAAATCGAAATAAAAGCTCATATAAATTAGATATGTTACTCTCACGAAGCTTTACGCAAATGCAAATTATTAGGATCATGGATTGCGATTGCGGAGCATAATCCCCTCGGGCAGGTCATCGGCAATAATAATGATTGACCAGATTAAAATAACTCAAGTCTAGTAATCAAATTGCCAAGAAATACCCCAGTGGAGGGGGAAAAAAAACCACGGCAGTCCGGCATGAGTTCACCCCACGTTTTGCCAGTCCGGGGAGAAAGCCGAGGCCACAGCCAAGATAACATGTCAGCATAGCCCTCTTTTCTTTTTCTTTTTCCAATGGGAGACAGTTCGGTCATGGCGTACCCCTCTTAAGGGGAATAATAAATGGACAAAGTGGTAGTTATACAAAGGTATACAAAATATAATATAGTTATATGGTGTACATAATTGAATACGGAGTACCTACATGTGTAATTATAATGTACAGCCCTGGAGATATATATATATATATTTTGGAATCGGGCTAAAGTACATCCGCATTCCGACATTAGTAACTATGTACATATATGCGGTGTATTACTTCCACTCTTCACGTAGTAGATAACATAACTAAATAACTACATATGTATCCATGGATGTTGTAGTCCATGGGGGAAATGAACTTTGGTCTCGTATTATTTTGGGGTTTCAAAGAATTCCATTAAACGTTGTATCTTGTATTACATTACTGCCGAGGTATAGGAACGGAGTAAGCTCGGAAACCCATCCTGAGGTTGCCACTTACACTACGGCAACACACATTGCAAAAAACCAGACAGATGTAGCTGTCTCAGCCATGCATGAGGCTGTATTTCTATGCTTGATTATGTATATATATATATATATATGTCAAAAGTAGGGAACGGGAGGCTGAAAATACCTAGAGTTACTTCAAAATGAGCATACTTTGTAGGGACTGGACTTGGCATCCAAGATTCCTCTGATGCTCCAACCACACGGCGACACTAAAATTCCTTACATATGTACACACTGCCTAGGATGACCTTGAAAAGTATACAATGGACCTATTGAATCGTCACATCATTTCATATCACTGTTCAGTGATCCAATTAAAACCCCCCTTTGTGTGAACCAATCCTAGCAGACGCCGAGAAATAGAAGTAGACATAAACATCATAAACCAATTTTAGGTAGACCACATTTGCCGGGGAATCGAGATGGGGAGTACCCATGAAGAAAAACAAAACACAAAACACAACGAATCGAATCGAAAAATTCGAGAAGGATAAACCCAAGTCAAATCCCAGAAAACCTAAACACCACCTCGGCCCATCCTCTCGATTGAACTCATGATCCCACCTCGGCCGGGAGTAGGCATTGCAATACCAGATCTGCCACCGCTATTACCACGAGAATGGCCGGCGGGAGCACCGAATCTAGGGATTCTCTTTTCCATAGTGGCAGGGGGGCGGATGCTTCCAGACATAGAGCGACTGACACTGCGACGGAAGTCATCCGGGGTGGCCTCGCGAGATGGCTGAGCTGGCTCATCAATGTGGTCATTGTGCACAGAAGATACCACAGAGGGCTCGCGGTCTCGAGGCTGATATGGGGCGGGTGCCTGCTGCATGGCTAGCCACTCGTCAACAGCAGCAACAAGTTCACCCTTCTCGGCGCGTTCAGACTCTAGATTTGCATGAATCCGCTCGGTCTCGTCCTTCAGAGCAGCCATTTCTCGCTGCAGACCTTTGATCTGCGCCTCCATGGCACGCTTCTCGGTCTCGTGCTCCTCATTCTCGCGAGCGAATAGACTGGCGTTAGCCGCAGCCATTGAATCGGATTGCGCAGTATCACGTTCGACACGAAGATGTTCGTTTTCTTCAAGTGCGGCAGTGAGCTTCTTCTCCACCTCACGCAAACGCTTCTCCCAGCGAGACTCGTAGCTCTTTTTCAAGGCCGCAACCTTGGTCTCATGCTTGTTCTTGTAGAGCACATGAAGCTCACGAGCGACCTTTTCAACGGCATCCTGAACTTCTCGGGCAGTATCTTCAGTCGAGTTGGAAGACTGGTGAGATGAGCTAGCTTTACTAGTGTTAGATACAGCCGCAGCGCGTGCAGCGGAAAGCTTGCTTTTGAGCTCAACAACTTTTCCTTCCAAATTCTCCTTGTTTTTTTCAGCCTCTTCTGTCTTTCGAGACAGACGTTCACGCTCGCGCTCTCCCTCCACTAATTCGGAGCGGGCGGACCGCAGAACAGTTTCCATCTCATTGGCTCGACGTTCCCACTCGGCCTGTTCCATCTCCAGCACCTCTTTTCCGGCAGCTTCGTTACGTACCTCTTCCAGAGCTTCACCGACACGTCTCTCCGCGTCCGCCACTGCTTGTTTTAGGCTGGCGACCTCGGCCTCTTTGCCACTGAGAGTGGCTTTGAGCGAAGATATGTCAGACAAGAAGCCGGACTTCAGTGACTCTAATTCACGAGGAGTGACCGTGGGAATGGATCGAGGGGTAGGCGCAGCCGGAATATCAAAGTCCAACAACGACGACATCTTCCCGGGAGATCGAATAGATTGTCGGGTCGATCGCATAGGCGAACGCCGCGAGGGGGAAAAACGGGCACCTTGCATGGACTGACGAGGGAAAAAGTTCATTTGATCAGTGAAATCAAGCAGATTGGCAGAGTCAACTGGATGAGCCATGTCCCGAGGGCCTCTGGGTCTCGGCGTAGGCGATCCCATAGGCGAATTTCCATCTAGATAGACGCTCGCTCTGTATGTCCTGCGCCCTGTGCCCGGCGTGGCCGGATCGACATTTTGTCGATGCCCATCCATAATCGGAGCTGGGCTGGGGCCGACACTACCTCGCATTGACTTCATCAGTGACTGGGCGCGGGGCTTTGCAAATGTAGTCATATCAGGCATGGCGGAAAATGTGCTCAAGCAAGTGTCATCCATTGAGTCGTCGACCATCGAGTTCTCGTGTGAATTATTCTCTTTGTCGCCGTCTTCATGAAGTACTGTGCTCATCCCTTCGTTGTGTCTTTCCTCTATCATGCTGTTGCCAATTGCTGATCGGTTGTGCTTGGCACTTGTAGCAGAAAGGATGCTCTGGTCATGGAGTACGCTAGGCTCCTCTTCGGCATCAATGCGAATCTTTGGTGCGTCTGATCGGCTCACCATGCCCTTCTTACGGCGCTCCTTCATCTGCAAATCGTCCTCCACGTCCTGGGGTGTTTCATCGTAAGATCTTTTACGGGGAGTTGCTGCAACCGAACGCTGGTCACTCAGTCCAACTGATGCACAAGAAATCCGGCGCGACTTATGAAGATCAAGGGTGGTTTCTTTGGGATTCTGCCGGAAGGACGAAGTAGGAACTGGAATAGGGGAAGAGGATTTGGATGCTATCGGTGACTCTGTATGCGCATGTACCTTGGGAGAATCAACTCTCCCTAGTGCTTCGTCGCGGATGGGCAAGTTCGACTCCGCAGCAAAGGATGCACGCTTAGTTACGACAAGTGGGTCTTGCTTCAACTCACGCAGCTTTGGTGAATCAGCCGTCTCTTGTGCTTCAGGGCGGATAGGCAAATCCGGTACCATAACGGGCGAAGGATACTTAGACACCATTGGTGTATTTTGTTGCATCTCATGTAGTTCCAATGGATCGGCTGTCACGTTTCTTGCTTCATGGCGAAAAGGCGAACTAGCGGGATCCGGCAATGGCCGCGCTTTAGGAATTGGCGAGTCATTCTGCATTTCGCGCAAGCGATCAAAGTCTACCATCTCTTCCCGTGCATCAAGGCGGAATGGAGAGCTCGTTGGCTCCTCTAAAGCTAACCGCCTTGCCATTCCAGGGGACATAGGCTGTACCTCGCGCAGTCTTAGGACCCCCGCTGTCCCTTCTCGGACATGAGGTCGGAACAGGGAACTTCCCGGGCTCTCCTCCTCCAATGACTCAAGTTGTGGGTATGGCAGAGGAGACGACTCTTGCTCTTCGTGTCTATTTTGGAAATCAACTGTATCCTCACTAGCGTTAGGACAGAAGGGAGAGCTCATTGGCTCCCTCAGAGCCAGCCGCTTGTCCAAGCCAGGTGACATAGGCTGCACTTCACGCAGCCCTTGGAAATCCACTGTCCCCTCTGTCACATGTGGACGGAAAGGAGAGCTTACAGGGCTCTCATCCTCTAGCGGTTCAAGTTGTGGGTGTGATTGGGACGAGGTCTGTCGCATTTCGCGCAGCTTCTGGAAATCCACAGTGTCTTCGCGTCCATCGAACTGAAACGGTGAGCTAGCACCGTGCTTATATGATTCGACATCATTGAAATCATCATTCTCGTGTTCATTCTCATGTTCGTTCTCGTGTTCATTCTCGTTCTCATGTTCGTTAGGGTAGTAGGTTTCATTTTCATCATAGGCATTCGGGCTCGGCACGGCGTGATCTGCCCATCTCTTCTTTAATGGCCTTGGGAGAGCGTCATTTTCTGAGGGCTGATAAAGAGTCTTGTGAAGAAGGGGCGAAGAATTCGCCATTTGAGATTGTGCGCGCGCGTTTTGGTAAGAGGACGAGAGGGGCAAGAGTGGAGTTGACATAATTAACGCAAGAGAAGAAGAAGAGAGGAAAAGAGTTGGTCGTAAGATATCGTCTCTGGTTTATTTTCAGAACCTGTTCAGTTGAATGAGAAACAAGAAATCAGATTAAGGCAGAGTTTGTGTATACAAAAACGAGTTACTGTGTCGACGTTGCTGGGTAAACAAAACTAGTCCCAATTGGGAAAGGTGCATCCAACCTATCTAATTGGACTATGTTTATATTCAATTCATCCTTTACAATTGTCTTTGTGGATATCTCTTTTTAGATGTTTTATCAAATATACATATGTATTCAAAGATAATACATACCCTGTATTATTGATGTTTAGCCACTTGTGTGGTGAAAAATGGGGAATATATATATATATAAGCTTTTATATAGTGCTCTAGACAATGCCATTGTCGATCACCTTATAGAATCTATGATTATATGAGTATAGAACTTGACATAGGAAAAATAAAAAACAAACAAACCAATCCAGCTTTCGTCTCCTAGTCAGACAAGATTACTGCTTCTATGTGCGCATTATCTCTCTATTAATAATGATATGAACGACTTCGTCATGTGGCTGCTCTGGAAGAGCAATATGATGACAAGCATCTGCTGGTTCCACGGTTGCCGATGAATGTTTATCGTACTGGATAAACCACAGCTGTAAAGCGCCGAATAATGCAACACGACTACTCCCCTACCACGCAGCCAATCCTAGCCCTAGAACTGTAAAGCAAGCCAGCAATCGGAGGAGCGAGAGCTCGAGACGCAGCCCCAGCGGAAGCAGCGAGGCCATTGATTTTACCCATGATAGAATCCGAGGGACTGGCTTGCTTGATGAGGACCAAGAGGATAGGATAGTCGATAATGGACAGGATATTGCGAACGATCAAACAAGCATAGATACCGACATAGATGAGTTGGCCTGGTAAGAAGACCAAGAGAGGAACCCTGAAGTATGCGATTGGATGGAGTACTGTAACGATGATGAAGAGCCGCCAGATTCGTAGATAATAAGCCAACACGGGGGAAATGATGCTTTGGATCACGAGGGCGATGATGGACATCATCGGTGGACATGATCACACCCACAGCTCAAGTCGAAAGACCGATCCCACCTGGGATATCAAAGGGAGAATCGTGCGGACGTGATAACCCTCGGGGGTCTTTATCTTGCAAGAAGATGGGCAAGATATGGCTATATGTCATCGAGTGATAGGTAAAGATAGCCAAGGCAACCACAAGCATAGCGGCTCGCCAGGTAAAAGCCTTCAGTTTTTTTAACTTCTTCTAAGTGCACGAGGAGCCATCAGCTTGCACATTCCAACTCTTATCATTATGCAGATGAACCCGATTAAAAGTCCCGTAAGACTCCGCTCGCAGGTTCACACCAGCACTGGCAGCTGCGCCAGATGTAACCAGGAGCGACTGCTCAAATGCCTGGTCAAACTGTCTATGGGCCTTGCCGGGTTGCATATCTGGATGAGGAGAAGCCAGCTACCGACAACGCTAAGGAGAAGTAAGATACAGCAAACGAGATTGGGAAAAAGGTAAGGGAACTATCCAAAGAGACCATCGGCTGGGAACAAGGAAGAATATCCTTCAGTGGGCTTTGCTAGCAAACCTTGAATAGCTGAATGGAATTAGTATTTACAGTAGAATTCCGTTTTGGAAAGACTATACATACTTGGACCGATAATCGTTCCAATTGACCAAACAAAAGGTATGATGGCATATGCTCGAGCTAGATATAAGATTAATACCCAACATTAGATATGACAGAATGATGACAAACTCACGTTCATGTTCAGGTCGCCCGATGAGCTCACTAACCATTGTTTGAATTGCTCCAATATTCCTATTCAGGGCTCCACCAAGAGCTCTACAGGCGAGCGCGACCCAGTAGTTCCAGGTTATCCCCACCAGGATCAAAGAGGCCATAGTGCCTATGCAGCCAGATAGGAGGATATGATTCCGACCCAGGCGATCCGAAAGAGCACCCCAGAACATACTGGTCAAGGCCTCTGCGAGTGAATCAGAATGCCGGCATAGAAGGAGGCATTGTTGCCATTATCCATGTGAAAGTCTTTGATCATCACCCACGAGTAGGGGAATATGGAAGTCAAAGCAGTGGGCTCTGCAACTCGACAAATTGCTGTTTTCTTGTGTTAGCCATTGCCAAGTACTTGGAACCTTGAAAACTCGGGACATGCATACCTAGGAAGAAAAGCTGTGCTGTGGAAAATTTGTCAGGCGATGAATGTGATATTGCCTGTGGTATCAATAGCATAACTCTTCAGAACTAAGTAATATCTTATGACAATCTATCCGACAGTTGTTGAGTTGATCTTGTCTATTACACTGCCCGTACCTTAGGAGCGGAGAGCGAGGTTTGCTTTCTGTTTCTGTTTCTTTCCCTCCCCCTCTAGACTGTCAAAGTATATGTTTGTCTCAAATTATAGCGTGAGTATCAAGACTGAACAAGAAGGGAGGTTGAAAGGTTGGAGGAAAGAACCTTGGAAAGAGGGTTTTTATTTTCCACGTCCCAGAACGAACAATATCTGGCCCTGATACCCTACCTAAAGGAATTGAAGACTCTTGATACTATCATAAATAGCCTTGTCAATAGTATAGATAGCACATATAGATCTATATAGCTTAGTTTTGGGAATATTGTTTATACACCTTTCATAGCCCTTCATATGATAAAACATCAAAAACCTTCGGGTGGCGAACGATATTCGGATATCTCGGTAATAGTCTATATCTACGATATCGGATATTTCATATACAAGTTAATAATATAACATAATATAATGTACCTATATAATAATCCAAAATTATACACCATGATGACCTTGGATGAAATAAACAACATGGAAGTTCTCCAAGGTTCCCCACTATGTTTTCTTAAATCATTCTCAACCAATCAAAGACCACAAAATCATTTGAGTTGGACCCGCAGATCAGCCTAGGTATTTCACGATGTTATACAGCATGCATTTTGTAATGAGAGATATTGGAGAAAATTTGTAGAAAATTTGGTTATAATGTCCGTTATATGATCTTAAACCGCCTGGGCATAAGCGGCCAACTATGCAAGGTTATACTTATTTACATAGTTGTAGTAGCTACATATGTACCTGCCCGTGGGAATCTTACGGTATGTAAGTCGAAGAAATCAGAAATCTCACCATTCACCGATCTGAATGCTAAACACAAAGAATTTCTATCCTTAAACCAGAAAGTAAGAAATGATGATATGGAAGGCCCAATGTGACAGAAAAGGGAGGGGGAAAAAACAATGAGCATAAAAAAGATAAGCAGCCCTGGAGAGATGCCTTCACCAGTGACTAATCCCCTACGCCGGCTAATCCACACATGCCATGCGGACCGGATTGTATCTAAATACCAAACAAAGAATGCCAAACTGAAAGAAAAGAAACAGAAAAGAAACAAAACCAAGAGTTTCACGAAGTAGGTTCCGGATGCGTAGGGGAACTGGTGATCTCGATAGAGCGAGTCTCAAGTTCCTTGGGAAGGGTACCAGAGTCACCACGAGCCTCCAAACGAGACTCAACAATAAGCGCCGATTCAGGGCTCACATCCATGAAAGGCTGGTGGACTGACGGAGTGGCACTCGAGGAAGATCCCTCGGTCTGTGGTTTTTTGGAGGTAACCTCAACATGTTCCGCAGAGTCATCCACTTTCTCCTCGTCTCCAATTACAGCAGCTAGACTGCGGAAATTGAACATTGGCTCAAGAGAGTTGGTGGTGCCCTCTCCAGCAGCGGGACCGCCTGTGCTATCCTCCGGGGTTGTTTCCATGACAGAGGAGAATGATGAAGAGGCGCTGGAGACCTGCCGCAGGTGAGATGGTCGTGATGGTTCGGACTGATCTGCCATTTGGCTTGCTGCTACTGCTGGATTAAGCAGCATAGGGGGGTTCCTCTCTTCTGCGGTCGATGGCCATGCACGGTCAACTCCCTTACCTTTATTACCAGCAGCGATTTCTTCACCGATGACATCCTCGCCCATGACAGAGGATGAGCTACTAGTCCCCCTACCTAAATTGAACTCGCCAAGGACATCCAAAGCGGAGGCGCTAGCATTATTGCTATACAAGCCAGTCTTGCGAGCCGCCTTATCCGCCTTCTTAGCCTCCTTCTCTTTCTCCTTCTCCCTCTTCTTGGCGTCCTTTCTTGCCTCTTTCTCCTCTCGTCTGAGGCGCTCGTCTTCACTAGCCAAGCTCAGTCGGATAGCTTCCATCATCATCATTTCCTCAAGATCGTCAATTCGATTGCGCCTCGAGCTCGATCGAGGGGCAGTTGGGTTACCTGCTCCTTCTTCAGCAGAAGCAGAATCGGTGTCTTGTCCAGTTACTCGAGGCGTCCGATCAGCACCGGTACGCTCTGTCAAGAAAGCCAATGCGTTGAGGGCAGGTGAAGCGGTCCGGCCGCCATACCCTTCTCCGCCGGTGGCTCTTCGCATTCCTCGTCGTCCGATGCCAAATCCACGCGACTCACCCCCAGTTGCACTGGGGTTGATTAAATAGGCCGCAGTGTGAAGGGCGGTTGCGGCTGCAGATCGACGTGCCGCGTGGGCTCGTGCATTCGATAATTTGGTGGCCCAGTCCGGCCGAATCCTATCCGTAGTCACCACTGTGGGATCAGCGGCGGATAGTGAGGTCGCACGGCGGCGACCTGGCACGGGTGCAGTGGCAGATGATAAGGAGGAGGTGGAGGATACGGGGGAAGTAAAGTTAGGTGAGAGTCGAGCGCTGGGTTCTGCAGCATAACTCAAACCCCGACGGAACGAGGGCGATGAATAGGTGACTCCGAACTCTGGCTGGACACAGAAGGGGCATGCCGAGGGCTCGGAGACCAATTGTGACTCAGTCGACTCCGTCTGCCCACCCTCGGCTGAAGAAGCATTCGCACCAGGCTCTCCGTGTTCTGGGGGGTGCGGGTCCGGGCGCTTAATTTGCACGAAGCACTCGGAGCAAATAGGCTGGTCGCAGCATCGGGTACGGTTTAAGTAAGGCGGATAGTAGAGAAAACAGATAGGACATTCGCTTGCGTCTTTGTACAAATTGACTTCGATCGGCTGTCCATTGACAAATGGGTCCTTGGGAAGCTGCAATTCCCGGGGCGTGAGATCTGTTTGTGAATTATGTTTGGAGGTGGTCAAAGCAGCTAAGGTCTTTGCTCTTGTTCGGAAAAGAGGGGAGGTGGATGTCCCGGATGGGATCGGAGATGCAGAGGGTAATGATTGAGGGGGTTGGATGACTGCGAAACATCTGAATTATAAGATTGCGATCTGGATGTGATCGGCACTGTCAGATGCTGGATATATGTCGGATCGGCAGAGGCTTTGTTGTCTGTGATCTTGGATAATTTGTACTCCAACTCAGGTGGGATCTCATCGGGACGGGGGATGGGCATGCCGCGTGCAGCTGCCATAATCTGATGCTCAGCCCACGATTCCGAGAAGTCATTAAGACCTCTCCAGAAGGGAGCCAGTCGACGTTCAATCTAGCCCGCTTGTCAGTCTCTAATTTGCATGCAGGGAGATCTTATGCAAACCTACCATCAGTTGGCGCACCACTACCTTATTGTAGTCTTCTGTCCCCACATAGACGCCCTGTGTTACGAGATAGCCTCCATCGACATGCTCCTCCTTCATACTACGCTCCCTTTCTTTGAGACGAGCCACCCGTTCTTTCTCCAAGCGACGGACCTCGCGTTCTTGTTTTGTCTCCCGCCGATGTTCTAATGTGGCCACCTCTCGATCATGACTGCTGCCAATTCCAAGAATCGAAAGGTCAGGCCTACTGCCTCTTGCTGACCGAGAACCTTGATACGGCCGACTTGATGCATCGGAAGCGCCCGGAGATAATTGACTTCGATGACTTGACGGAGCTGTGGAGCGTGACTCCTTGGTCTGGGAGTTTCCCATGTTGGAGCCCAGATGGATATGGTGAGGGGAAGGATGGTGTGATGTTGAGTTAATCCACGACAGTCCCAGTCACAGTCCAGTCACGGTGATTAACTCCGAACGGATAAGGCGGAAAGGGCCCCCAAAGGGGGTATGGAGTGGTGCAGTAGAAATGATAAAGAAGATGGAGAGTTAAGGCCAGAGAGTGGAGGTAAGAGGAGTAACTTGAGAGCGGGGGGGGGCGGTTGTGATCTGTCCGGAGTAACTGGGGAAAAGAGATCGGTGAGGAATTTCTGGGACACCAACCCCCGCGAAGCCGAAAGAACTTTTTTTTTTTCTTTTCAAGAAAGAACTGTGTACAGATTCAAAAAATACCTATAAAGATAGAAAGAGAGAATTATCGGATATGGCGGATGTTATTTTTTGTTTCTTTTTTCTCTTAAAATTTAAAGGTAAGTATACCTGTTTATCTCATTCCTGAAAGGCCTGGACTATGTGGTTTTACTATATACATTTATTCCTAACAAGAGTACAGAGTACTGAGTACTATATGTACATAGTAATAACAGTTATTAATAAATTATATATATTGTCAGACCTTTTACTACAAAGTAGTCCTTAAACCAGGGTCATCGTCATCGTCAAGTCATGGGCAGATTTAATATATACAATACGTATATATATATATATATATATATATGTATACATCATAGGTAGGTTTTTCTTTTGGTCCTCTGCAGATCTCCCCAAAGTATTGAGTACTTAATTGACTGTGGTATCGAGTACAGGAAGTGAAGTCATTAGGTACATGTGCAACATTATTAGGACTTTCAGGCAGACACAGGCAACAAGGCAAATCCAGGCCAATTCAGGCTAACGTTTAAGGCCAACTTATGATCAACCTCGGAACCATCCCAGCCAATAGATACCCCTTTTCAAAAGGCGGTGGCATTAAATCAGTCTGTGCATTATTTTTGCTCCCCAAAAAAAAAGATTCGAGCGGAGTTGAAGCTTTGGAATCTTCTCTAAATTTACCGTGAAACTTTAACATCCTTCATAGGTCATGCATTAGTGATAGCCCTAATTGCTAGCGCGCCTACCAATAATCTTCTGGCAATGACTGAAACGACCAGACTGCATATCACGCCTTTCACCCAGGACATCCTTCCATCGGTGCTGCCAGCATCTATTCGCAACTTGGCCACAGAGATATCTTTTCACGAGATTTCCACCTTCCCTGAGAATAACTACGGCTACGTGACTCTGCCAAATATGGAAGCAGAGAAGATCAAGAAGAAATTGAACGGCTCGATTCTCAAGGGCAAGAAGTTCAAGGTCGAGGCCGCTCGCCCTCAAAAGAGACACCGGGAGGAAGAGGATGTGGTGCCTGAAGCCCCCTTCAGTGCCAAGAAGAAGTCCAAGAATTCCAAGAAGCAAGCGCCCGAGGATGGTGTAATGGACGGCTTTGAACTTCCAGCAGACCGCAAAGTGAAACGAGGCTGGACTGAGTCCAGTGATGCCAAGCAGGAAAGACGAAAGTCGGAAAAATCCGAGAAGAGAGAGAAGAAGGGCAAGGAGGAGAAGTTGCAACCCAAGTCCAAGTACACCGACAAATCCGAATGCCTGTTCCGAGCAACAATCCCACCCAACCGAGCATCCGACGCAACTTCCGACGATAAGAAAGCAAAGAAGAAGAAGAAGTCCAAAGACAATGTCATTCATGAATTTGAGAAAACGGTGGCGCAGCCAAGCTTCCTGCGCACCGCGGAGGAAAGCGCAGCGCCTACGGCTACATTTGAAGATGGAAAAGGCTGGGTGGATTCGACGGGAAACATGAAAGAACCAGTCAGCATGAAGATTTCGAAGGATAACTATCAGCCTGGTCAGATTCCAGGGGCCAAGGAGAAGCGCCGAGCTGTCAAATCAGCTGCCAAAGACATGAAAAAGCGTCCGCGTAAAGAAAAGACTCCAGAGGTATCTTCCGAATCTGAAGATTATACCTCATCGAGCGGCTCATCTTCAGATGATAGCAGTGATTCAGAGAGCGAGGTGGATAAGAAAAAGGCGGATAATACCCCTGAAGATCCACCTGCATCTTCTGACGAGGAGGATGTCCAGCCACAAACCCAAGAAGAGACCACCAAGTCTACAGAAGCTAATAATGCTGATGCTGGTACATCGAGCGAGTCAAACTCGGATGAGATACCCACGGAGGCTGCGCAAAAGGTGAAGCAAGATTCATCTGCCAAGGAAATTCACCCCCTTGAAGCCCTTTTCAAGCGGGCCGCCCCGACATCATCCGATAACCAGCCAGTTCCAGAGGCTGAGGCTGGATTCAGCTTCTTTGGTAATGACATTGAATCTGAGGACGAATCTGAAATGGCTGAGCCACAGACACCTTTCACACCCTTCACGAAGAACGAGCTACAAAACCGAGGTCAGCGCAGTGCAGCTCCCACCCCCGACACTACTGCGGCCACCCGGCACATGACATTCAACGAAAGTGAGGACTCGGATGATGAGGGCGTTTCAATAGACAGCCCTGTCACAAAAGCTCGCCCGGAAGCCGGTGCAAGCATGGAAGAAACTGAATTCGCAAAGTGGTTCTGGGAGAATCGCGGTGACAACAATCGTGCTTGGAAGAAGAGGCGACGTGATGCTGCTAAGGAGCAGAGACAGAGAGATAACCGGAAGAAGGGATTCAAGGGAAAGTCATAGATTCGAGACCCAGTTTTCCGGGAAGCTGAGTGATATGTATCTAGACTCCGATATGGGTGCTTCTACATAAACGAGGCTGCCAATAGCCTTTCAACGACACAGATACCAAGTAATTCAAGCTAACTGTCTTTGATCGAATATAAATCTAAAAATACATATCAACCACCCGTCTTTTGCTGGTCTTTGTATTGCGTATACGGTCATGTGACCCGCGTCTATCATCATTAAACCCAGCCAAACCAGGACTTGTCGCATCGTCCACTGCACGCCCAGGATGCTTTCTATCTGGTCCTTACAGCGAAACATGCGGCTGCTGTTGCTTCTCTTTACATTTCTATCTCTCACATCATTGGTAGCGGCTACTAGTAAGTGCTAGCCTCTTTTCTCCGATGCCGCCAGGTGGGAAATGGAAATGTCACACCATCCTCTTTGTTGATACTAATACTCAATGATTACAGCACCGACATCTTTCTGCAAATGCACTTGTTTCTCCAATAGTACGATCATCCCTCTCAACCCCGCCAAGTCCGAAACCTCCTCCGGCATCGACCACGTCCGATTTTACGAGCGCGACACTGTCAGCTCCAAGCTTGAGCATACCGAAGAATACAGCAAACGAGCTCCGAAATACCGATCCCTGAATTGTAATGATTGCAATCGCAAATTCTGTCTCGACTATGAGCTACCAACATGCAAAGGCGCTAAGGAGGAAGATGTGTACACGACTTGCTTCCGTAAGTGATTTGTCGGGGGACCCGTGAACTAGCCCAAACCGAATTGGATGATATAAAAGATGTGCTGATGAGGTCTACAATAGAGCGTGATTCACGGAAAGACGAAGCGGTGGTATTTATTTTTATTTTTGCTACAGGTGGACTACTAGCCTGGGCAGCCTGCAAGCCATGGATTGAGCGATATGTTGAGGTAGGCCAATACTAGTGGGTATACATATCTCGTGGGAGCCCGACTAACTGATTTAGGCTGCACGAGAACGCAGGTCGTATATCCCCGTTGCTGAAGATCATTAAATGTGAAATGATTTGAAATGATTTGGAATATCTGAAATATCTGAAATATCCAAGACTATCATTACTCCGTACTATTAACACCTTAGCAAAAGGCCTAAAAAAGAAAAATCCCAGACTAAATCCATCCACTTATTAGAAATGCTGACATTGGGAATTTGAGAGATCGACATAGATAAAAGTGACTAAGTATGCACCTGGGCAAGAATACTAAGGCGGATATGATATCTGTGGAATGTATACGGAGTACGGAGTACAGAGTATAAGACTAGTATAATACATATATGTAAGTCCAGGGGTAGCACATATAAACTATGGATAGTTAATGGATCTATGCATCTATTATTAATCTACAATATACCTACGGAGTACTCCGTAGTTAGATAGATCTATTTTCTTAGCGCTTTCAAATTACCATAGATCCAATACTCATCTGAAACATAGTAGATTAGAGGAGTTAGGTCGGCCATGGATAGCCAATAGATCAGAGAGGAATGCGTATTATAATATGTTTAATAGGAACAGGAATCCCCCCAATACTCCATATATATATATATATTCACTGAATCGGCTCTATTGGCTGGATTCAGAGAGAAAACTTGTAAATTAATTTTTTTTTTTTTTTTTTCTCTTTTTTTCGGTTTTAATTTCCTCAATTTCCCTGGACTTTCCCTGGACTTTTCCTCTTATTCTTCCCAAGATTCTCTCTTCTTGAATTACTCTTCCGTCTTCAAGAGGCTTGATCCCTTGCTCATATTGCCCCTGGTGGCGTTGATTTTCCTATACCGAGATAGTATATACTCCGTACTGGAATTCGCAATATGGCAATCTTCGATTCAGAGAAGCGCCCTCGCGGTCTTCGCGTGCCTTCTCTTGCAGCATTGAAGTCTTCCGCAACCGCGAAATCGCAATTCTCCTTCCAAAAGAAACCGTCTGACTCTGCGCCATCTGACGAGTCAATCTCACCCGAAGCCTTTTCTGCCCCTCCACCACCAAAGCCGGCGCCTCCGTCGAACAAGGAACTCCCATCCCCCCCGAAAGTGGAGTTACCAGCACTCCCGGCCTTATCCAACAACCCATACTTTCCTCCAATCTCCCAACATGCAGTTCCGGAAAGGCGCCCAATTGAGCGAGTCCCTGTCCCAACGCAGTCTCCTACCTCTCGGACGACGGGAATGCGAAGCAAGAAATCACAGCCCGATTTCCACGCACCTCAACAACAACCACCTCCAGTGACCATCTTTCCCCCACCGCAAGTTCCAACCCTAGTCCAGGCTCCAGCTCCAGCTCCGGCCGACGAGGCCAACTCCCCACAGCCGGAAGACTTCATCCCGACCCCAGACAGCGCCGAACCGCCACTAGCAGTAGCAGAACTGTCACGTGAAGAGATGGGCCCCTCGCCCTTCATCCCTCCGGATGTTGAACCCGTGGCACCAAGTTTGAACGAGATCCACCTAACATGCTACCAGCAGCACCGCGCCATGCCCGTGGCGCAGAACACGTGGTGTCCGATGCCGTGCATGACCTGTCAGAAATTTGACATTGAGATCCGGCACCGCTGTGTGTTCTGCTGCCTGCGCATCTGCGAGTCGTGCTATCAGACCCTACAGAAATGCAAGAATCGTTCGGTGGAGGAGTTGGTGGATCGAATCGCCGTCTGATTTGTTGATATCCTTCTCATTTCGAGGTGTTGATATAATTGTGCGTTGGGTACGAATGATCTCAGCATATATTGCATGATCTTTGCGCAGGCAGTATACTTCCTGTTAAGGTTATTAGTTACGTTTTTTTCTTTCTTTTCTTATCTGTGTGCCTTTTTTTCTCTTCATATGATACCAGGGACCTCGTGTATATTATGGTTTAACCAGGAGGACCGAAGCTGCATGTTTCTAATGAATACCTTTTATACTCCGTGTATATATATATATATATATATATATTTACGTTCGTGACATAAGTGTAGCATTTCGTATTCGTAAACGCTGGAGGCCTATGTGCTAGGTATGCCAAATCGTCAGCTCATTGCTGTGTCAAGAAGACTCCCATATGGTACAAACGGCTCATAGATCAATCATGATCCTCCTCGGTCAGGCCAGGACACCCTCCCAGCTCAAGATCCGTTTCGTAGGCATATTTACACCAGAAACAATAGCGATATTTCTCGCGCAAAAATAGAACCAGCTTGCGTAACCGCTCAGCTGGCTCTAATGCATTAAAGGCATCGAGCTCCTCGTCGTCTTCTTCCAGCTCTATCTCCAGTGTGGAGGTATTCTGATCAAATTCACTGCCAATGGCTTTTTTATCCTCGCGGTCCATAGTCGGGTCATCGTACTCTGGTAGCCGTGCTTTGGGGAAAAAAGATGAAGGGAGTGATGATTGGAAAGCATGGCGTGTCTGGCGGTCACTGTCATTCCGTTCGCGCTCACGGATGAGACCGCGGTAGAGGACGTTGATGTGGGAGGTGAGCTTAATTGGCTTCTTATTTGTGGCTATATCGGGTCCGTCGCGTGGTTGACTAGGATCTGTGGAGTCATCACCTTCTTTGTTGCACTTGACCAAGGACCCTGTTCCTTGTTCTTTGTCTTTGTCAGTGGTGGCCCCACACTCTGATTCTGCATCCAGCCTCTCTGCAACTTTCTGTGCAGCGCGCACTTGCGCTTCGATGCGTCTCAACTCGCGCTCTTCACGAACGCGATCTCGGTAACTCCCCTCCTCATTTTTAAGTCTCTTTGCTGCTTCTTCTGCTTTCTCGCGGAGCTTGCGCTTTTTCTCGGTGTCCAATCCAATTCCGCCACGGTTTTCTTTCAGGGTTAGGCTTAGCGGTTCAACGCACGCCTTCGGGAAAGAGTCGGTAGTATCGGAGTCGCTGGCTGCAACAGGTTTGCCAAGTACACCACCAGGTTTGAACCCAAGTTTTGCCATCATTTGGAATCCTTTGTTGGTGGGGTTGAGGGTGCTCGTGGCCAAGGCTTCCTCTCGGCGGGCGGCTTCTCGAGCGGCGCGTTCGGCTTTGGACGGGACTCGACCCCGGGCTTCGGCCTGCATACGGAATAAAATGTTAGAATGGGGTTGAAATTTAGCCGAAGACAGATGTGGTGTTGGGTTAGAATGTGGAAGACAGGGTACCTCTCGTAGCTCGCGGCGCTTTTTTTGTGCGAAGGTCTCCTTTTGAGTGGGCTCCTCAATCACCATATTCATGTAATCATCTTCATCCTCGGAAGCCATTATCTCGGTTGTCAAGAAACAAGTTATGGCGTAGAAGCTAAGAAAGAGCAAGGGGAAGAGAGAGGGGTCCGCAGATGGACAAGAAAACGCATTAGGTTTTGCGGGGAACTACGGTGGGGCTTGCCTAGGCAGATGGATTCTAGGGCGGGCTAACTACCTAAGTATTAGTTAATCAAGGCTTGATTATTATGTATTAGGTACACTATAATACATATTTAAAACATACAATAAGTTGTTAGATGCTAGAATTATATCATTCAAGTGTACAGAGTGGTCTTTTCTAGGGTTATTGGGGAATGAATGTGGAAGATTGGTTATCATGTAAATATGTAACTATATGCTGAAGCACCAAACAAAGAAGCTATATATGCCGACCCCTAGAATTTGTCTCTCTTTGTCCAGGGCTTTAGATTTGACGGTTTCAGATATCTCTCCATGTCTCACTACACCTCGTACAAAAATGTGTGGTACAGAGAGTGTATTTGACCACATGGTTGCGTTTATAGCACAAGCATTTCCGAGGCCGATCAATCATGAACTGTTGTTCCTATTAGCTGCTTCTGATCGCTAAAACATGCAGTTTTGTTTCTGCTGACTATCTCTGAACCTAAATAGCTCACTGTCGGGTAAAAATACCCATCTATTATGTCTTTCATGGATGTTGTTCTTCCCGGTAGAGCTAGCTCCCTTGCAGTACATGTGACACAACCCTGCAAGCGTCTAGTGAGCACATCTCAATAAAGAAACAGCTGCGCAAGGGTTTTGTCCCCGTGGCACTCCCCAGCGGGTGATTGCGGTGTTGTTACCATAACTTCGATGGACAAGGATCGGCTTTTTTTTTTTTTTTTTTTTTTTTTGTCCCGGCCCTTTATAAGCCATGGCATCGACCGGTTCACAATCAGACTGTGGGTTATCATGGCTATTTTCTTGTACATCTGCTCTTTGCTATCCCTATCAACAGCTTCTACAGTGGTGGATCTAGGCTATGCGAGCTATGAGGGCCGCACATTATCCAGCGGAGTCACACAGTGGCTCGGTATGCGGTTTGCTGCTCCTCCTGTAGGAGATCTACGATTTGCTGCCCCGCAGGATCCTTTGTCTGTCAAGGGAATACAGCAAGCAATCGAGGTATGAATCTATTGTTGTTCATCTCCCTATATGTGGCCATTGACCATCCAACAGCATGGAAGTATATGTATCCCCACCGCAAGAAGTGAAGGCAATGCAGTCCCAGCAAGAAGTTCGGAAGACTGTCTGTTCCTTGATATCTACGCTCCTACAGCTGCACTCAAGGACTCGAAGAAATTACCTGTCTACTTTTTCATACAAGGAGGAGGTTTTGCGGGAAATTCAAATGCCAACTATAACGGCACTGGGTTGATCAATGCATCTGGAAACAATATGGTGGTGGTTACTTTCAACTATCGAGTTGGTCCCTACGGATTTCTTGCTGGAAGAGAGATCGAAAAAGGAGCCAGTCTGAACAATGGTCTAAAAGACCAACGCAAGGCACTCAAGTGGGTTCAGAGGCATATCAGCAAGGTAGGTCGAGTTGTCATTCCTCGTTCTTCTGACTTCGTTTGACACTGTCTCTAGTTTGGCGGAGACCCCAAACATGTTGTCCTTGGTGGTGATAGCGCAGGTGCTGCCTCAATAACTCTCATGCTCTCATCATATGGCGGCAAAGATGAGGGCCTTTTTGTTGCCGCTGCTGCAGAGTCACAGAGCTTTGGTCCGGTGCTTAATGTCACCGAAAGTCAATTTGCATATGACGAACTGGTAACTGCGACTGGATGTGGTGGTAGTCAAAATACCCTGGCATGTCTGCGCAGCCTCGACGTCAATGCTTTGCAGCTGAAAAATGTCAACAGACCCTACCCAGGAGCAACAGGGAAACCCTTATTCCTGTACGGCCCCACAATCGACGAGGACCTGGTGATAGACTACACGTATCGCCTCTTTCATGAAGGTAAATTCATCAAGGTACCAGTGATATTCGGCGATGTCACCAATGAAGGCACGAATTTCGTTCCCAAGACCACCTTTAGTGTTGGCGGGGCTGATACATTTATTCGGAACCAATTCCCATCAATAAAAGAGGCACATATTTCTTGGATCAACAGTATGTATCTGAATGCAAACCAGACGGAGAAATTCTTTGGCACTGGGTCCTACTGGAGACCAGCAAGCACGGCTTATGGAGAAATGCGCTACATCTGTCCTGGAATTGACATGTCTTCAGTCTACGCTGCGGCAGGTGTCCCAAGCTGGAACTTCCACTACGCAGTTCAGGACCCCGCCAACGAGAAATCGGGGGTGGGCACATATCACACCGTCGAACTGAATGCGATCTGGGGTCCGACCAATACTCGTAACAAGGCTCCAGCTTCGTACTATACCACCAACGCAGATATAGTGCCTCTGATGCAAGGCTACTGGACGAGCTTCATTACCTCCCTGGATCCGAACACCAAACGTCTTCCTTCGAGCCCGAAATGGGAGACTTGGGGTCAAGATGGTGATGGATATCGGCGGATATTCATTCGAAGTAAGGAGACTAAGATGGAGACAGTGCCACAGGGACAGAGGAGTCGATGTAAATATTTGACTAGTATTGGTGTTGATTTGCAGCAGTAGCATGTATATATTATAATATACCCATTGGAAGTACATAAATAGAGTGATAGTCTTGATCTACTCAAGCTTCTGACTAGGTAGTCGGTTCATTACTAAAGAGGGACAAGTGGATTGTGTAGATCTGATCTTAATAAACTTGACTTTTATTCCCAGCCTTACGCCAGATAAACAATGATGTATATACCAGCCCAACGACGTAAAAACAAGTGTGACACATGAAAAACAGACAAATAGAAGTTGAAATGCAGATTGTAAAAATGCAAGATTACCGCCTGCCACGCGCTCGTTCGTACTCGTTGGCGGCCCGGCCCTCCTGGCTCTGAATCTCCGCAACAAGGCGCTTGTACTTCTTCTCGTACTCGGAGTCGCGCTCTTTCTTCTCGCGCAGTTGCTCGCGAGCAACGAAGCTGGCATCCTTGCGGAGTTCGCGCATCGCGCCCTTGCGCTCGCGCTTGAACTCCTTCTTGAGGCGGTTGGATTCGGCACGCTCGCGGTCTGGATCGTAGTGCTTGTCTGGGTTGAAGTTCTCCTCGAATTTTGGGATGGCTGTCTTGATGGCCAGGGGTTTGTGGTCGTGCAGGAACAGCGGGCGACGAATGAGACGAGCCTGTGCGAGCTGGGAATCGATTTTGTCCAGGGTGCTCTCGATGGGTTCTCGAGCTGCTGAGTATACCTTGCCCTTGAGGGATTGGCGGAGGTACTGTAGAACGGCACAGACCGGTGTGAAAATCTCGGTGAAAGCAGATTTTTCGGACCAGATGTCGGAAGCAGAACCAAGGAGAGACACGAGAGTAATGAGGAGGGAGAGCTTGAGTTCCTCTTGCGCCTGAGGATCGGAAGGAGAGGTAGTTACATCGCGGAATTGCAGCTTGCGAGGTGTGACCTTCTTGCAGGGCACGAGCTGCATAGGTTCCTGTGACTTTCTGTAGGGGAAGGCTCCAAACTTGACAGTCGGCTCCGTAGGGGCAAGATTGCAGAGAGCATTTAGAGTGTAGTTGACAAACTCGGGCATATATCTCTTCGAGGCCTGTTGATATTGGAGGCAAAGACTTGCGGCAAATGTACCACTTGCAAGGTCTGCGAGCGATGTGGTGGTGCACTGGCCCAGGTACCGTGCCAGGCAGAGATGAGCGGGTGTAACCGTCGTATGGAAGTGATCTGATGTGGGGAAGAAGGTTGAAAGGCCGGTAAGCAAGATGAGGTCGCCGGGTAGCAGATTGAGTGGGCGTTCCTTGCCAATCTCACGAAGTTGCGCTCGGCACGCGATTGTCACGTTCAAAGGATGGGTCTTGGCCAGAGAATGGATGTGACGAATGATATTCTCCAGAATGGCAAATGGAGGTTGTTCAGTCTTGTTACCCATGTAAGAAACATGTTCAACAAGAACTTCAGCAAATCGACCGAGCTTGTCCTTGTTGCCAGGTTTAAGTCGGGGATGATGCAATGCTCGAATACGCTGGATAACTGTCGGGATTTCCTCGACAGGCACGTTCTTGGTGATACTCAGGAAGTTTTCGTGGTCTTTTGGACAAGGATACGTGAATGCAAGCTTTCCGTTTGCTTCCTTGTTCACCTCGGCAGCAGTCGAAGCGGCAGCAGAATACTCTGTCGGGAGTGTCATTCCGTTGATGAGCTCGTCCTCCCCATCTGGCCCGTCGGACTCATCGCTCGACAAGTCCTCCTCCTCTTCAATGTCACTGTCACTGTCACCCATGTCAAGGCTGGCATTTGAATCCGTCTCGACCAGATCTTCGTCGATGATGAAATCATCTTCATCTTCAACGCCGAGTTCAGGACGTGTTTCAGTAGGGTAAGCTGGAAGGCCGAAATGCATAGCATCATCAATTTCCGACTCATCATCCTCGGGCATTTCGTCCTGGTCCATATTTTCCTCCTCGTCGTCAGTGAGCTGCTCTCCACGCATTCGTCGAAGGCGATCGTTCTCGAGTTTCTTGAGCCGCTCAGCCTCCTCCTCCACCTTCTCCTCTTCGGTCTTTGTGCGATCTGTGGGTCTTGATCGCTGATCGAATGTCATCTGCCTGAGGCGCTGATCATATTCCTTCTCTGGATCTTTGCTATTTTGCAACTCTTCCATCATGGCAGCGCGCTCTGGGTTCATCTCTGAGAAATCGTGTTGCGGTGCCTCTGGCTTGGTCGCCTTGGCTGCAGGCTTAATGCTCCGCAGAGCGTCGAAAAGATCAGGAAGTTCCTTATCCAACGCTTCCCGTAGATCTTCATCTTCATCCTTAGCCTGCTGCCGTTCCGCTTTGTAGAACTTAGACTTAGCAATGACTTCTTTCATAACCTCCGCCTTAGTCTTTTTGCGCCCTGGTTGCTCTTCGTCTCCATAATCGATGAAATCCTCTTGGTCCTGGCCCTGATTTTCATCGCCATCGGGGAAGCGTTTCCGTTTCCGCGACGCTTCCTCGTCGGATTCCGCGGCATCCAAGTCTCCGGCCTCGAAGTCGTCTTGGTTCGTTCCGTCGAATGACAAAGATTGACCCATGTGAGTAAGCTGCATTTCATCATCATCGTCCTCGAGGTTGAACATGGACTCCTTCCGCATCTTTCTCTGGCTCTCTCTCGCAAATCTCTCCGCGGCCCGTTCCTCGGGTGTCATGGTGGGATCATTCTCACCGAACCGGCGATCGACGAGTCCACCGATCTTGTTTCGGCTATTCATCTCTTTCAAGAGAGTGGCGCGTCGCTATTTAGGTCAGCTTTTTACTCGTAATACTTGAGGAAAGCAAATAAAAGTACTCTTTCTTCACCCAGTGATTTGGTAACACCTGGGCGAGCACCACCTCCAGCGGTTGTGTTGCCGTCTCTGGTTGTGACATCGAATTTGCTGGATTTGTTTATCGTTTTGATCTCGAAAGGGTTGAAACGATCTCGAATGGCTTGCAAGGCGATCTCGCGCTGGTTGCGATTCTTCGCACCAACTCCGGTCTTCGCATTTTGTCGTTTTTCTTTCTTGGACTTCTGAGGACCAAGGACTCCGTTTTCACGGAGTGAAGCTTTCAGCTGTTTGAGCTGAGAAGGCGGCATTGTGTGTGGTTAGGTTTGAATTCGAGAGTTGGAGGTTTTTCCGGTCGTGATTCTCATCAAAAAAATCAGGTATACCGCCTCCGCGGCCTGCGCCGATCAAGATTCTGCCGACTGTGTTCTCCACATCTCCAGCTCTCATAACCATTATGGCTCCCTTTTCTGGGGATGGTGTGCTATGGCTATGTCTAGGTATCAACGAATCTGCCTGACGAATCAAGTTTGACTCATATGATTAATTTATATAGGGGTCTCGTTGTTCTTTGCTATCCGCGGTATCGCCACAGACCTCCGCCAAGTCGTTCATCTGACAGAAATCAAACATGTTGAGAAGGAAGACAAGATAATTAGCGAGGGAACAGAAGAAGGTGTGTAGATAAATATATCCAGCATGCCACTGTACTAATGAATCCTATAGCTCTCAAGTTAGATACCCTCTTGAAGCTTTCTCAAAGCACAAGCCATGACCTCCGAGCTGCGTACGCCAAAATAACGACCTCTCAAACCATTTTGTGCGTCATTTAATTATTTCTAGGGCCTTGCGCATCATTTCAGAACGATCTACCAAGGGAGATACTCGTGACTTGCTATTGGAGGAACTTGCATCCAGGAACAAAGTTTACCAACGGCGAGCTCTGAATGCATTGAACTTCCTAGTTTCCAACCGAGCCCGTATGCTACCCATTCTGCCTCATTTGGACATATAGGAATGCTCATACTATTCTGCAGTCACTCGAACGTTGATTTGCACTCGACTCGCCGACGTGCCCACCTTTACCGCAATCATCAACTGCCTTTGCAACTTACTAGAAGAACACGTGGAGAAGACATCTACGACCAATTCGCCCATTTTGCCAAAGACACGGCCGATGGGAGAAAAAAAGGCGCTGAACATTCTGAATGTCTTGTTGCCAGAGAACATACCTGGCGCACTGGAGGCGGGGATCATCAGCCGATGGCTTTCTAGATATCCATTCCCGTGTGCAATAGCCGAACCTTCTCGCCGGCGGGATGTGGTAATCCTCATGAAAACATGGTGGTCGGATGACATAGTCATGAGCTCGATTTTCAGCTCGCTTTCTTCGCACCCAGATGGGATCAAGCAGCTGCGGAAACATGGACTGATGGGCAGCATGATTGAAGAAAATGACCACGACGATGAGGATGACGCAGACAGCGATGTTTGGATGGTAGATGCGGATGACGCAGGGGGTACTTTTGGACGAACCCCTTCGCGTAGGCTTCAGGAGGGGAGTACCGAAGAGCAAGCGCTTCGCCGACGCAGGAGAGAAGCTATGGTTTTGAGCGACGGTGGACGGCCAATTGGAAATGATGACATAATCCAACGATCTATGGATGGATCCATGATTGATTGATCGTGGTGCTCTTTATGATCTTCAACTTGTCTGTAATACCAGATAACCAAGTTTCAAAACTAGCTACTGTATTTTTATGTTTATGATACCCCACGCCAGAAATATGATATGCCATGAATTTTGTTTGAATCCTAATGAAAAACTAAAGCCCCATCCATGCTGATTTGGCCAAGTGGTCAGTCTTCTTCCGACTATTCTTGATCACACCAAACGCCTTCAATTCTGAGAGAGCGCCATAGAACAGAGACATTACGACTCGGTCATCACAGCCACCAGCCTCTTCAGTTTCAAATACACCATAGAAAGCCTGCCAGAGATCATGAACGTTCACGAGAGCGCCCGAATCAAGGTACAATTGATAAAGAACCGCGGTGGCAGGTTGCTTGGCCGAGACCCCGGTCATAGTGATATCCGACGAGGAAAGTAGGTAATCAAAGGGAGTAGCCAGGGCACGCTCGGTTGCAAAGCGCGGTCGAGGGGCGAATGTTTCTTTTAGTGGATTCCGTAGATCAAACAAGAAGGCTTCATGCAAAAACAGATTTTGTGGGTTGATAAGGGTTTCTGTGAGATGAACTTGTA